ACTATTTCTGTATGGACCTCGCTTTGTGCACGGGGGCATTCTCATGCTGAAACAGGAAAGGGCCTTCCCCAAACTGTTGCCACAAAGTTGGAAGCACAGAATCGTCTAGAATGTCATTGTATGCTAAAGCATTAAGATTTCCCTTCACTGGAACTAAGGGGCCTACCCTGAACCATGAAAAACAGCCCCAGACCATTATTCCTCCTCCACCAAACTTTACAGTTGGCACTACGCTTTGGGGCAGATAGCGTTCTCCTGGCATCCGCCAAACCCAGATTAGTCTGTCGGACTGCCAGATGGTGTGGCGTGATTCATCACTCCAGAAAACGTGTTTCCACTGCTCCAGAGTCCAATGGCGGCGGGCTTTACACCACTCCAGCCAACGCTTGGCATTGCGTATGGTGATGTTAGGCTAGCGTTGCAACCGAGGACAGTCGATTTTTACTCGCTATTCGCTTCAGCACTCAGTGGTCTTGTTCTGTGAGCTTGTGTGGCCTACCACTTCGCGGCTGAGCCGTTGTTGCTCCTAGACGTTTCCACTTCACAATAACAGCACTTACCATTGACCGGGGCAGCTCTAGCAGGGCAGAAAGTTGACAAACTGACTTGTTGGAAAGGTGGCATCCTATGACAGTGCCAAGTTGAAAGTCACTGAGCTCTTCAGTAAGGCCATTCTACTGCCAATGTTTGTCTATGAAGATTGCATGGCTGTGTGCTCGATTTCATACACCTGTCAGCAATGGGTGTGGCTGAAATAGCCGTATCCACTAATTTGAAGGGGTGTCCACATACTTTTGTATATATAGTGTATTTATTGATCCTTGTTAGCTTTAAGGGTACATACATGTGCTCTACATGCACCCACTGAATGAGAGGCTGCCAATGGTAGGAAAGGAAGTGCTTATGTAGCCCCTTCCTGTGTACCCTTCCTGTGAATCAGCTATCCCCGGCCAAATCAGTGGGCTGGGTCAGAAAGGTTAACCAATGGGAAGCCAAGCTGCTGAGACAGGCTCTTTAAAAATAAATAAACTTTGACAGGATCAGTGAAAGGGGACAGAGGGGAGGTTATGGTTTGCAGTTACTGTACAGCGGGGATTGGGGGCGATTGCTTATGAAAATGAGTTGGAGCGAGGGAGGATAAAAGTGAAAAAGGGAGAGAGGAGGAGAGGAGGAAGAGGATGTGGACTACAATGAAAGGACAAAGATGCGGTGACATAGATATATTACTGGCATTTGTTTCTTTATTAGAGGCCTGTCTTTAGACTGCTGCAGTGGACAGGAATTAGAACTACATTTGTCCACAGCACTACATGAAGGAGGGAGGGACTTGTAGTGTATGGGGGAAAGCCTCCATACCCTGCTGAGCCCTGGAAGGAACAGTCCAGTGCCTCATGAGACTGACCTTGAGAATGATGTTAAAGTCACAGTGAATATCAATACATGATAACATATTACCAATATTAACCATTCTAAGGCCCTAGTCTCTGATACAGTAGAAAAGCAAATTGACCATGTTTTGGCTTTGTTGTTTGACCCCTCATTTTAATCTTCAGCAAGAAGATTGCATGATAATTCATATGTGAATCATATTCCACACTATGTTTAATTGTAAGTAGATAGAAAGTGGACATAGACATTTATATAGAAAAAGGTGATAATTGCATGATTAATGACACTGTCAAAAACGATAATTGGATGTCCTACTATACAGTGGGGGAAAAAAAGTATTTAGTCAGCCACCAATTGTGCAAGTTCTCCCACTTAAAAAGATGAGAGAGGCCTGTAATTTTCATCATAGGTACACGTCAACTATGACAGACAAAATGAGGAAAAAAAATCCAGGAAATCACATTGTAGGATTTTTTATGAATTTATTTGCAAATTATGGTGGAAAATAAGTATTTGGTCAATAACAAAAGTTTCTCAATACTTTGTTATATACCCTTTGTTGGCAATGACACAGGTCAAACGTTTTCTGTAAGTCTTCACAAGGTTTTCACACACTGTTGCTGGTATTTTGGCCCATTCCTCCATGCAGATCTCCTCTAGAGCAGTGATGTTTTGGGGCTGTCGCTGGGCAACACGGACTTTCAACTCCCTCCAAAGATTTTCTATGGGGTTGAGATCTGGAGACTGGCTAGGCCACTCCAGGACCTTGAAATGCTTCTTACGAAGCCACTCCTTCGTTGCCCGGGCGGTGTGTTTGGGATCATTGTCATGCTGAAAGACCCAGCCACGTTTAATCTTCAATGCCCTTGCTGATGGAAGGAGGCTTTCACTCAAAATCTCACGATACATGGCCCCATTCATTCTTTCCTTTACACGGATCAGTCGTCCTGGTCCCTTTGCAGAAAAGACAGCCCCAAAGCATGATGTTTCCACCCTCATGCTTCACAGTAGATATGTTGTTCTTTGGATGCAACTCAGCATTCTTTGTCCTCCAAACACGACGAGTTGAGTTTTTACCAAAAAGTTATATTTTGGTTTCATCTGACCATATGACATTCTCCCAATCCTCTTCTGGATCATCCAAATGCACTCTAGCAAACTTCAGACGGGCCTGGACATGTACTGGCTTAAGCAGGGGGACACGTCTGGCACTGCAGGATTTGAGTCCCTGGCGGCGTAGTGTGTTACTGATGGTAGGCTTTGTTACTTTGGTCCCAGCTCTCTGCAGGTCATTCACTAGGTCCCCCCGTGTGGTTCTGGGATTTTTGCTCACTGTTCTTGTGATCATTTTGACCCCACGGGGTGAGATCTTGCGTGGAGCCCCAGATCGAGGGAGATTATCAGTGGTCTTGTATGTCTTCCATTTCCTAATAATTGCTCCCACAGTTGATTTCTTCAAACCAAGCTGCTTACCTATTGCAGATTCAGTCTTCCCAGCCTGGTGCAGGTCTACAATTTTGTTTCTGGTGTCCTTTGACAGCTCTTTGGTCTTGGCCATAGTGGAGTTTGGAGTGTGACTGTTTGAGGTTGTGGACAGGTGTCTTTTATACTGATAACAAGTTCAAACAGGTGCCATTAATACAGGTAACGAGTGGAGGACAGAGGAGCCTCTTAAAGAAGAAGTTACAGGTCTGTGAGAGCCAGAAATCTTGCTTGTTTGTAGGTGACCAAATACTTATTTTCCACCATAATTTGCAAATAAATTCTTTAAAAATCCTTTAAAAAGTAAATAGTTGACGTGTACCTATGATGAAAATTACAGGCCTCTCTCATCTTTTAAGTGGGAGAACTTGCACAATTGGTGGCTGACTAAATACTTTTCCCCCCACTGTAGGCCTGTATGTCTCTTTGGTCAGGTTACAACCTTGAAAATAAAACAAATAGACATGATTGTTTCAACCAGCTTTAGTCTTCATTCTTAAGAGACAGCATCATCACATGAAAGAATGAGTGTGATGTGTAAAAACACGTGGAGGAATTTGCACCTTTTCCAGGTCATTCTCTGTACCTCCCCAAAACAAAACAAATAAACCTATTTTTGGCTACTGTCCCAGAATGCACCTGGCTGATTGACTGACAGGCTCTTTACTATGGATGTTAATGGAGAATGTGCTAGTGCATTTATATACGCGTAAACTAACCAGCCAGTAACAAATAATTCCTCACGTTGACAGGCTGCCATCTCTCCTAATTTCCGGCCAACTGTGCCGACATATTTTCATTCGGCTCGGATTAAACAGCTGAGAAAATGAGCTCCCAATCAATTTTCCAAATGAAAACACTGGGGCCCTGTTCACCCATTTCTCCCCCTACAGAAGATACTGCCATCCATCTAAAACAGACAAGAGGGTGCTCTGGTCCTAGGGGAGATAACTCAGGAAACAACCTGAGCAGGAACAGAAAGCCACAGCAAACCGATACAATCGTCCGCGCGCACACACACTAATGACTGTATATAAACGCAAGCACGCATGCATACACGCACACAATCGTGAGCGCGCATACACGCACATGACCGTATACACACACAATCATACACATAATAGCACACAAAGACGCATACACACACTTACTCAAAAGCACAGACTCACACACTTTATAAAGAAAGTCACCCTAACACACACACTAACACAATAAATATATGATCAGCAATATAAACAAATGATCTATGGTTGTCGAAACAAATCATTAACCTTGTGGCCAAACCATCCCTAAAAAGACATGAGTCAGCTGCTCCGTTTGCATACCCATTGATGCACATTATTGATAGCAAAATGTTCAATGCATTTCAATGAGGGAGCATTCATTCTTGAGGTTATCAGTAATAGAGAACTCCAAGAGAGGGGATAAGCCTTAAAGAAACAGTCAAGACAGACAACATCTATTAGATACCGTCAGTCTCAACCAGGAAACAGCATACATGTGGTCATGTAGTCACAAAAACAGTTTGAAGTCTGTTTTGTGTTCGTATTTTCTCCCGTCTGATTCGGCAGCTTAATGCCACGATGGATATCATTGACAAGGCACGGGTTTCATGAATAAATGCCCCACGCTTTTCTCTCTCACAGTGAGGGTGTCTCTGTTGAGGGTGGTGTTATCAGGGCTAGACAGGTATTATTCATAGGGCTGTCTTTATTCCTAATGCGATAAAGGAGTTTATTTTTGGAGGTTATTTTCCTCCTCTCAGTGTCTGGCGCAGTGAGAGGATCTGGGATCTGGCCAGAGCTACCTCTAGTGGAGATAAATCAGAACTAACTTCATTAATTTGGAGTTGGAAAATGTTTTGTATGGGGGGGTTCTTCTGTGCTATTTTTACTGAATGGTTGGTTAAGGCTGTTATTACACGACAAGTTAACTTTGTGAGTGCAAAATGGTAGAGATCTGTTACAGTAACAGCAAGTTAATAAACTGTTCTCCAAAACAATACAGTCTTGCAAATTAAAATGACATAGAAAGTAATATCAAAGTGGGTCTGGAACAAAATGTGTTTATTGTGAAATTGGCTTGTAGCTGCTTTGATGTTTAAAACAGTGATATAAAATAATCAGATACTGTACCCTGGAGGGTAGCCAATTTAGTTTCTGCTTCCAAGTCCAGAGACTGTATGAATGTGCCCTTGAATGGGGTACATAACCTGTTGGCGGAGACAAATATGTGGCTGGATAAATGAAAAGTGTGCCTTGGGACACCAGCAGTTGCCAAACATAGAAATTGAAGTCAATAATCACTATTGCTGTGCCCATAATCCTGTTCGTTCCAAGGTCTAAATCTCGAAATCTCCCAATGTACATAAAGAAGATGGGCAAAGATTTCTATGCTGTTCCAGGTTGACTAGCGCTGACATGACATGGACAGCTAACAGTTCCCTTTGTATCATTCAGGTGTTGCTTGACTGAGAGGTTTCATGACGAAGGTGCAAAGGAGACCCCAGTGGTCGCTGGTAAAGCGTTGACAGTCATCCAACCTCTCCAGGCCCACCAGGGTCATGCCATCTGGGCTGATCTTTGACCCCTTGCCGGCCTGCCTCAGGAAGAGGCGGTCGAAGCGCAGGCGTGCAGGGAAAGGGAGGTCCTTGTTGTCATTGGTGACACAGTCCCAGGTGTACCGGCAGTCCTCCGGCTGGCCCAGGGACTCCCATACGTCACAGATGCCCTCAGGTAGACCACCCTGGTTCTTCACCTGGAAACATACACAGACACATTGCAGACATACACACGATGTACATGTCAAACACATCGCTCCCTCTCTCCCTGTCTCACCTCCCAGTCCCTGAGGTTGGTGTCTCCCCCAAAGATGACGTTGTGGTCCTGGGGCTGCTCGCTCATTGTCTTCCACACCGTTCTCAGCTGGTTCTGGCGTTCCAGGGATTGGGGCTTCATGCTCTCCATGTGGGACGTCATCACACACAGTGGATGGCCAAGGAAAGAAACCTGGTCCACGCCAGAGACAGCAGAGAGACACTGAGTAAGGGCAGAATCGTAACTTGAGATCTGCATGTGTAACTTGAGATCTGCATGTGTAACTTGAGATCTGCATGTGTAACTTGAATATCTGTGCACATTTTCTATTACTTAATGAAATTTGATGGAATGAGAGACGACAGGAAAAGATAAAGCAAGGTACAGAGAGTGTTCTTACATAGGCCATAAGCAGGTTTCTCCTCATCTTTGTGGCAGGGTAATTCACTATGCTACTCTCTAGAAGTTGAACTCTGGACTTCCTCAGCAGTATGGCAGTGAAATAGCTTCTGTCACTACCTGGGATGGACCATATCAACATAACACAGGAAGGCTAACCATAAACACAGTCATATAAGTACATAATTACAGTCATATAATCCACAATAGCTTTGATGTCATACTGAGAGATAGATTATTTAAAAAAATATTATTAAAGAAAAACGGATGTGTGCTGCGACCCACCCGGATAAATATTTTATTTTATTTAGATGTAAAAAATCAGGCCAAAGAAAAGCTAGAAATGCTCTCAAAATACAAGACTTTGTAAAAAATAAATGTATTTTACCTTTATTTAACTAGGCAAGTCAGTTAAGAACAAATTCTTATTTACAATGACGGCCTACACCGGCCAAACCTGGACAACTTGTGCGCCGCCCTATGGGACTCCCAATCACGGCCGGTTGTGATACAGCCTGGAATCGAACCAGGGGGTCTGTAGTGACACCTCAAGCACTGAGATGCAGTACCTTAGACCGCTGCGCCACTCGGGAGCCCAAGGATAATGACTGAAAAGGTTTTTATAATGTTATTGCTTACCCGGCAACACATGATATGGCTTCAGAACCTGCTGTAAAACTTGGTAAATTGGTGAAATAACCTCTTGCAGTAGCACAATGTCAGGATGGTACCTTCAAGGGAGAAAGAACATGAGAAATCAACACCTTTCACTGCCTAAGATGTTGTTTAATGACTCGTAAACATATCATTTTGTTCTGTGACTTGACCAGGCAGTTCATGAAAAAAATAACATTGTTTTTGATGGATAATAAAGGTTCATATGTGCAGTTTTAAAAGGGAGGGTAAAAAGCATTTACTCCGTGACAAAAGTGAATGAGAAAATTGTGCAGAAGATGAATCTAGGACAGACTTCAAAAGCAATAGGCCAAAATCGTATTAACTGTGACGACTGTCTCCCTCCGATTGGTCACAGCTTCTCTCCACTCAGTGGGAGGGTGGGTTATGGGAATGACACACAACTTCTCACCCTAATGACTATATGACGAAATGTGTTGTGTGTTGATGTGACTCACTCGATCAGGTAGTCCAGTAGCCTTGAGAGACGTTCCTTGATATCGTCCAGGTCCAGGCCGTCTATGTTCCAGGTCAGAAGGGTGAGTTTGTTTGGGTCTCCCTTTTTCTTATGTTTGTCCTCGTCTAGAGATGACTGTGATGACTGTGGAGATGACTGATCTGGCTGATCTGGTGATGACTGTTGTGGAGATGACTGATCTGGCTGATCTGGTGAAGACTGCTGTGGAGATGACTGATCTGTGGATAACCGGGTTGGAGGACCCTGATCTGGGTGTGGTTGGGCTTGAGGCGGCTGGTCCTTTGACTGGGTTAGGGGAAGATGGTCTATTGGTGGTTGGGCTAGGTTAGGGTGCACTGGATTGGGTTGCTCTGGTTGGGCTTGACTGGGTAGCACTGAAGGGAGCGTGGCTGGGTTTTGATGCCCTGTAGGTGGTTGGGCAGGGTTACGTTGTGCTGGTTTGGGTTGCTCTGGTTTGGGTTTCTCTCGATTAGATTGCCCTAAGGGTGGGTCAGGTTGCACTGATGGGGATTGGGCTGGGTTAGGTTTCTCTGATTGTGGTTGAACCAGGACAGACAGCAATGGGGCAGATTTGCCCATCTCTCCCTCCTTGTCCTCCATCTTCTCGGCACTCCTCTTTTTCTTTCCTCTCTTCTTCTTTCTCTCCTTGGAATTTCCAGGGGCTGTAACCTGTTGGAAGGAGTCACTCGTCTGGTTCTTATTGCCATCTGCTGGCCTGTTTATGTAGGTGTCATAAGAGGATCACAAGAGAGGTGTTAGTTAATCAATTATGAATGGGAAAATAAACTGACTTTACAAAATGCCAGACACCTATAATAATATGGCCACTGATTTAGTAGATGCTTTCTTTTATCCAAAGCGATCGCTAACACTATTCAGTACTGTATGTGGCTCGTGCAGGAATCAAACCCACCACAAACCAGGTGTTGTAACACCGTGCCCCCACCGACAGAGCCTATGTGGCTTGTCACTTACCTTTCCACTGAGTCTTGTTGCTTGTCCCCCATCTCTGTTCACCTTATTTTCACTTTTACACAGCTGTTTCACCCATAGGCACAAAAACAAACTGCATTCAGCTCCACTTACTCCCAACTGACAGAGTAGGCCTACAGGTCCTTTCCAAATAAGGTGACATGTACGTTAGGCTGCTTACTTAATCCTACATGCTATATAGTAATGCAGATCTTCAAATTCAGACTATAAAAATAAATACAACTATTTTCATGACCGACCGTGGATTGCAGTGGAAGTTCAGTCTGGAAACTTTGGTTTCGATTCTTCGTAAATACGCCCCCTCTCGAGAGAAACCACGCAGTCATTGGGTGAAACTGAAAGTGACCCGACAACCGACAGAACAATAGGTATAATGGTGACGATGGCTTACAGTGGGGAAAAAAGTATTTAGTCAGCCACCAATTGTGCAAGTTCTCCCACTTAAAAAGATGAGAGAGGCCTGTAATTTCATCATAGGTACACGTCAACAAGACAGACAAAATGAGAAAAAAAATATCCAGAAAAATCACATTGTAGGATTTTTAATGAATTTATTTGTTGTTGTTGTGTGCATTTATGTACCAACTCTGTTGATAGAAAATGCAATAAATGTATGGGTTAAAAAAAGTAGTAAATAATAATAATAATAACAATAGGTATAATGGTGATGATGGCTTATATGTCGAATATGCCCATACCCATAAGGTTCATTTTTATCTTTGAACATTAAATGATTCGGTATATATTGAAGACATATCGTCCCCCTCCCCTCATATATCCCGCTGGCGACACTCCCTCCCCTGGCATGGACGGCAAGCCACTGCGGCCAGACAGGGATGGTGAGCAGCATGACATGAGTAGCCTTTCCCCGAATACCAGTGCGCACTCATTTTGCTCAGCTGCAGAGCAAATTGCCTCAGGAGACACTACCACCCCACCCGGCTGCGCCCAAAAGAGCTACAAAGGATGTCTACCGGGAACAGCAGGAGGGGAGCAGTGGAGAAGGGTGGTGCAGTAGCTGGCATGAACAAGACTGTAGCAACCCAGTCGAGCTAGGCGTATTTCGAGTGCACAGTGTGTGAACGCCGGGAAATTACACCCACTCTACAAAATGCCACCATAATTTGTCTTATCGATTGGAACAAAGACGTTAACTTCTAACGCTATTTGGATACATTGTTGCACCCTTCATCCTTGGTGAGTGTCTCGCGTGTAGCTACATCTTTCTCAAGTGCTGTATGAGCAGTCACAGTGCTGGAGGGCTGCTTTGAATAGTTGAACTGCTCTGGCTTGCTCAGTAGTTTCTATTTAAATTCGATATCCTGTTGTAGGCTACACATTCGAACCATGTTATCCCCTCAACAACCGTGAGATTAGTAGGCTAATGATGTTAGCCTCTAGAATACTGTGTAGCAGACCCCAGTGTAGAAAAAAGTTGGTTGCGTCATCATCAAAGGCCTCATGAAACCTTTTTTCTCCACCACCTATTTCGCCGAGGGGAGTCGCTGGCCTTGGTGCTGAAACAGCGTTTTATAATATAAGGGATGGGGAGAAAGTAAAGGAAATCAGCTTGTTGACATTATTGGATGTTGTGTTTTAGTGCGACCACACATTACCAATATGTTAGGTTTACTCATGATTAAGTAATGTATTCATTAATTCGTTATTTATAGAGCCTTATATGGTGTGAACTTATTCAGTGACTTTCTCAGCATGGTATGCAAAAGACAGATAATGGGATCAATCCTGAGTTCACATGCAGTGCTTTGTCCTGAGTTCAAATACAGTAACCAACAGTGACCCTTGATCTGTAGCCCTATATTAGAATCACACTTTATCCTAGCGACTACCCTTAACAATTAGCTGAAACAACATAAATATATGATCATTGTTTACCTACACAGTAAGCAGAAGCAACAGACCAGTAAACACACAGCAGGGTGACAGTAGTAACAGGTTCCCACCAGTAGAGTCCACCATGGGAGGTATGGGCAGAGAGAGGTGCTGTGTCATCCTTGCCAAGGTGGCACGTGGCATTACACTGAGTCACACACGATCCACTCAACATGAGGCAGGAGGATACTGACGGTCATTCTATGTGGGTAGGAGAGCCCATGTTGCTTTTGTGAGTGAGTATCAAAGTGGTCTTTGGTAGGTACAGTAGGTGATGTGTAATTATTATTATTAATATTATTATTATTATTATTATTATTATTATTATCATTATCATTATCATTGTCATTGTCATCATTATGTTATTATTATCATTATCATTATTATTATTATTATTAGCATTATTTGCATTATTATGTTATTATTATCATTATTATTATCGTTATTATTATTATCATTATTATGTTATTATTATCATTATTATGTTATTATGTTATTATTACTATTATTATTATTGTTATTATTATTATTATCATTATCATTGTCATTGTCATTATTATGTTATTATTATCATTATCATTATTATTATTATTATTAGCATTATTATGTTATTATTATCATTATTATTATTAGCATTAATATGTTATTATTATCATTATTATGTTATTATGTTATTATTATTATTATTATTATTATTATCTGAGACAATGTGTAATGTGTCTGTGATTTCTTCCGTGTTCCAGGTTTAGATCAGTCTGTCCGGTGCATCATGCAGACAGGAGCTCACCTGCTTCTCTATCTCATCCTGCACTATGTGGAAGGTTGGGCACATCTTTAAAATGATGTTCTTGTGACTGTACCTCATGTTAAATGAATATTTCTGCTGTGTGTTCTATGTTGTGTTGTAGCATTCATAAAGTTAACAAACAGCAGTCATGTTTGTATTGAGTTTCTGATTCCGATATGGTCAAAAAGACAATGGTTTCACTGAGAGATGCTTTTCAGGGGTTAAAATGAACAATTAGTAACAGGATAATGAACCCAAATGTGCCCTTTAAGTACCTCCAAAAAGCTTTTTGATTCATTCTAAGAGTGGCAGTATATTTAGGTGATGTTTACCAGGATCTGCTTGTGCACTCAATATCCCCTTGTGAGAGCAGCAGAATAATTACATTTGCTGTTATTGAGTCAATTTATTCATTATCATACACTGCCCATTGTGTGGTGTTCAGTAACACAAAGAAAGCAGCTGATGCCTTTTCCCTCAGTTATCAGCTGAAATTGTTGAGAGCTAAGATGTGAGTATACCTAGGCTAACAGTATCAGTGAAGTGATCGCTGAATAATTCATGCTTGTTTTCCTCCGTTTAATGGTTCCATCTGGTTGATGCCTTAGTGGAGCATGTTGGAAGGTGACTCTTCCCACTGTGAAACAACCTGATTTTATTGCTGACTTTTACTAAATATAAGCAAAGTACAGTGCCTTGCAAAAGTATTCATTCCCCTTGGCGTTTTTCCTATTTTGTTGCATTACAGCCTGTAATTTAAATTGATTTTTATTTGGATTTCATGTAATGGACATACACAAAATAGTCCAAATTGATGAAGTGAAATGAAAAAAATAACTTGTTTCAAAAAAGTATTAAAAATAAATAATGGAAAAGTGGTGCGTGCATATGTATTCACCCTCTTTGCTATGAAGCCCCTAAATAAGATCTGGTGCAACCAATTACCTTCATAAGTCACATATTTAGTTAAATAAAGTCCACTTGTGTGCAATCTAAGTGTCACATGATCTGTCACATGATCTCAGTAAAAATACACCTGTTCTGAAAGGCCCCAGAGTCTGCAACACCACTAAGCAAGGGGCACCACCAAGCAAGTGGCACCATGAAGACCAGGGAGCTATCCAAACAGGTCAGGGACAAAGTTGTGGAGAAGTATAGATCAGGGTTGGGTTATAAAAAAATATCAGAAACTTTGAACATCCCACGGAGCACCATTAAATCCATTATTAAAAAATGGAAAGAATATGGCACCACAACAAACCTGCCAAGAGAGTGCCGCCCACCAAAACTCATGGACCAGGCAAGGAGGGTATTAATCAGAGAGGCAACAAAGAGACCAACGATAACCCTGAAGGAGCTGCAAAGCTTTTTGGACATCAAGGAAAACGCTATGTCTGGTGCAAACCCAACACCTCTCATCACCCTGAGAACACCATCCCCACAGTGAGGCATGGTGGTGGCAGCATCATGCTGTTGGAATGTTTTTAATCGGCAGGGACTGGGAAACTAGTCAGAATTGAAGGAATGATGGATGGCGCTAAATACAGGGAAATTCTTGAGGGAAACCTGTTTCAGTCTTCCAGAGATTTGAGACTGGGACGGATGTTCACCTTCCAGCAGGACAATGACCCTAAGCATACTGCTAAAGCAACACTTGAGTGGTTTAAGGGGAAACATTTAAATGTCTTGGAATGGCCTAGTCAAAGCCCAGACCTCAATCCAATTGAGAATCTGTGGTATGACTTAAAGATTGCTGTACACCAGCGGAACCCATCCAACTTGAAGGAGCTGAAGCAGTTTTGCCTTGAAGAATGGGCAAAATTCCCAGTGGTTAGATGTGCCAAGCTTATAGAAACATACCCCAGGAGACTTGCAGCTGTAATTGCTGCAAAAGGTGACTCTACAAAGTATTGACTTTGGGGGGTGAATAATTATGCACGTTTTCAGTTTTTTTGTGTTATTTCTTGTTTGTTTCACAAAAACAAAAATCTTGAAGGTGGTAGGCATGTTGTGTAAATCAAATGATACAAACCCCCCCCCAAAATCCATTTTAATTCCAGGTTGTAAGGCAACAAAATAGGAAAAATGGCAAGGGGGGTGAATACTTTCGCAAGCCACTGTATAAGCAAAAGCTGTTTTACCTGTTTTACCATTCCAAGATGGCGAAGTAGTGCAGTCCTGTTTCTGTCGTGTGTCTGTAAATAGCCTGTAAATACCCTGTTTTTTTGTATTTTTCGTACATATTTCCCTATCAGACTTTTCATCCTTCTACAAAATATACTTTCCTGCAACCCGCCTCACTCAATGTGGAACGGATTCTATTTTTGACTTACCTTTATCTAGAATCTAGAATCTCCAGTTGAAACTAGCTAGCCAGCTAACTAGCTACTTGCTATTAGCCACAGCTAGCGGTGTTTCACCCAGAACATTGGATTTTTTTCCGCGGGATTAATTTTAATCACTGGACATTGATCACCGGATATTCGGCCAGTCTGCACAGCGCGTTATCGACCCAGAACATATCAGTTTTTCCGCCGGAATCACTGAATCACTGGACCTTTAACTCCGGATTCATCGCTACCAGCTGGCTACAACAAAACGGACACTGTGGTCTGGCTAATCATCCTGAGCTAGGCCCATCTCCCGGCTATCTACCTCTCTGTCAACCGGACGGGACCACCTAGTGTTGACACCGAGCCCCGCCGATCCTACACGACTGGTCTGCCGACGAAATCGTCTGATGTGGTTACGACGTTAACCACGAAGATTCCATCCATCGGCTAGCCCTGGCCCGCTAGCACACGCTATCCGTGGCCTCTTACTCACAAGTGCTTCACCACCGGACCTTATGATAACTCAGCTATACAGCTGATATCTGCTGGACTGTTCCTTTTTACGGTACTACATCCTGTTTATGTTTAGCCTCAGCCCAAACATGGTTAGTTTATTGTTGCTTCGGTTATTTCTAATTGTACTATATCACTGTAGACCCCCCAGCCTAGCTAAACCTGCCTTAGATAGCTCCTTTGTCCCTCCCCCCATACACTCAGAGACCGACTCAATTGATGCCTCTAGAGATACTATCTCTTTCATTGTTACCCAACGCTTAGGTTTACCTCCACTTTACTCATATCCTTCCATATCCTTGTCTGTACATAATGCCCTGAATCTTTTCTATAACACCCGGAAATCTGCCCCCTTTATTCTATGTACCCAACGCACTAGAAGACCAGTTCTTAAAGCCTTTAGCCGTATCCTTATTCTAGTCCTCCTCTGTTCCTCTGGTGATGTAGAGGCTAACCCAGGCCCTGCAGCCCTCAGTATCACTCCTACTCCCCAGGCGCTATCATTTGATGACTTCTGTAATCGCAAAAGTCTTGGTTTCTTGCACATAAATATCAGAAGTCTACTTCCTAAGTTTGAGTTATTCACTGCGTTAGCACACTCTGCCAACCCTGATGTTCTAGCAGTGTCTGAATCCTGGCTCAGGAAGGCCACCAATAATTCTGAAATTTCCATCCCCAACTATAACATTTTCCGTCTAGATAGAACTGCCAAAGGGGGTGGAGTTGCAATCTACTGTAGAGATAGCCTGCAGAGCTCCATCATACTATCCAGGTCTGTGCCCAAACAGTTTGAGCTTCTACTTCTAAAAATCCACCTTTCCAGAAATAAGTCTCTCACTGTTGCCGCTTGCTACAGACCCCCCTCAGCCCCCAGCTGTGCCCTGGACACCATATGTGAATTGATTGCCCCCCATTTATCCTCAGAGTTTGTACTGCTTGGTGACCTAAATTGGGATATGCTTAATACCCCAGCCATCCTACAATCCAAGCTAGATGCCCTCAACCTCACACAAATTATCAACGAACCTACCAGGTACAACCCTAAATCCGTAAACATGGGTACCCTCATAGATATCATCCTGACTAACATACCCTCTAAATACACCTCAGCTGTCTTCAACCAGGATCTCAGCGATCACTGCCTTATTGCCTGCGTCCGTAACGGGTCCGCGGTCAAACGACCACCCCTCATCACTGTCAAACGCTCCCTAAAACACTTTAGCGAGGAGGCCTTCCTAATTGACCTGGCCCAGGTATCCTGGATGGATATAGATCTCATTCCATCAGTAGAGGATGCCTGGTTGTTCCTTAAAAGTAATTTCCTCTCAATCTTAAATAAACATGCCCCATTCAAAAAATACAGAACTAAGAACCGATATAGCCCCTGGTTCTCCTCAGACTTGACTGCCCTTGACCAGCACAAAAACATCCTGTGGCGTACAGCATTAGCATCAAATAGCCCCCGCGATATGCAACTTTTCAGGGAAGTTAGGAACCAATATACACAAGCAGTCAGGAAAGCAAAGGCTAACTTTTTCAAACAGAAATTTGCATCCTGTAGCACTAACTCCAAAAAGTTTTGGGACACTGTAAAGTCCATGGAGAATAAGAGCACTTCCTCCCAGCTGCCCACTGCACTGAGGCTAGGAAACACTATCACCACCGATAAATCTACAATAATCGAGAATTTCAACAAGCATTTTGCTACAGCTGGCCATGCTTTCCATCTGGCTACCACTAACCCGGCCACCAACTCTGCACCCTCTGCTGCAACTTACCCATGCCCCCCCCGCTTCTCCTTCACACAAATTCAGACAGCTGATGTTTTGAAAGCGCTGCAAAATCTGGACCCCTACAAATCAGCTGGGCTAGACAATCTGGACCCTTTCTTTCTAAAACTAGCCGCCGAAATTGTCGCAACCCCTATTACTAGTCTGTTCAACCTCTCTTTCATAACGTCTGAGATCCCCAGAGATTGGAAAGCTGCCGCGGTCATCCCCCTCTTCAAAGGGGGTGACACTCTAGATCCAAACTGCTACAGACCTATATCCATCCTGCCCTGCCTTTCGAAAGTATTCGAAAGCCAAGTTAACAAACAGATCATCGACCATTTCGAATACCACCGTACCTTCTCCGCTATGCAATCCGGTTTCCGAGCTGGTCACGGGTGCACTTCAGCCACGCTCAAGGTCCTAAACGATATTATAACCGCGATTGATAATAGACAGTACTGTGCAGCCGTCTTCATCGACCTGGCCAAGGCTTTCGACTCTGTCAACCACCGCATTCTTATTGGCAGACTAAATAGCCTTGGTTTCTCAAATGACTGCCTCGCCTGGTTCACCAACTACTTCTCAGATAGAGTTCAGTGTGTCAAATCGGAGGGCCTGTTGTCTGGACCTATGGCAGTCTCTATGGGGGTGCCACAGGGTTCAATTCTTGGGCCGACACTTTTCTCCGTGTATATCAATGATGTCGCTCTTGCTGCTGGTGACTCTCAGATCCACCTCTACGCAGACGACACCATTTTGTATACATCTGGCCCTTCATTGGACACTGTGTTAACAAACCTCCAAACGAGCTTCAATGCCATACAACAATCCTTCAGTAGCCTTCAACTGCTCTTAAACACTAGTAAAACTAAATGCATGCTTTTCAATCGAACGCTGCTAGCACCCGCCCACCCGACTAGAATCACCACTCTCGACGGGTCTGACCTAGAGTATGTGGACAACTACAAATATCTAGGTGTCTGGTTAGACTGTAAACTCAACTTCCAGACTCACATAAAGAATCTCCAATCCAAAGTTAAATCTAGAATCGGCTTCCTATTTCGCAACAAAGCCTCCTTCACTCATGCTGCCAAACATGCCCTCGTAAAACTGACTATCCTACCGATCCTTGACTTCGGCGATGTCATTTACAAAATAGCCTCCAACACTCTACTCAGCAAATTGGATGTAGTCTATCACAGTGCCATCCGTTTTGTCTCCAAAGCCCCATACACTACCCACCACTGTGACCTGTACGCTCTTGTTGGCTGGTCCTCACTACATGTTCGTCGTCAAACCCACTGGCTCCAGGCCATCTATAAATCACTGCTAGGCAAATCCCCGCCTTATCTTAGCTCATTGGTCACCATAGCAGCACCCACCCGTAGTCTGCGCTCCAGCAGGTATATCTCTCTGGTCATTCCCAAAGCCAACACCTCCTTTGGCCGCCATTCCTTCCAGTTCTCTGCTGCCAATGACTGGAACGAATTGCAAAAATCTCTGAAGCTGGAGACTCTTATCTCCCTCAATAACTTTAAGCATCAGTTGTCAGAGCACCTTACCGATCACTGCACCTGTACACAGCCCATCTGAAATTAGCCCACCCAACTACCTCATCCCTATATTGTTATTTATTTTGCTCTTTTGCACCCCAGTATCTCTATTTGCACATAATCTCTTGCACATCTAGCATTCCAGTGTTAATACTATTGTAATTATTCTGCACTATAGCCTATTTATTGCCTTACCTCCATAACTTGCTACATTTGCACACACTGTATATATATTTTCTGTTGTATTTCTGACTTTATGTTATTTATTTTTTTTACCCCATATGTAACTCTGTGTTGTTTTTATTGCACTACTTTGCTTTATCTTGGCCAGGTCGCAGTTGTAAATGAGAACCTGTTCTCAACTGGCTTACCTGGTTAAATAAAGGTGAAATAAAAAAAATATATACAGTTGAAGTCGGAAGTTTACATACACCTTAGCCAAAAACATTTGAACTCAGTTTTTCACAATTCCTGACATTTAATCCTAGTAAAAATGTATTGTCTTAGGTCAGTTATGATCACCACTTTATTTTAAGAATGTGAAATGTCAGAATAATAGTAGAGAGAATTATTTATTTCAGCTTTTATTTCTTTCATCACATTCCCAGTGGGTCAGACGTTTACACACACTCAATTAGTATTTGGTAGCATTGCCTTTAAATTGTTTAACTTGGGTCGAACATTTCGGGTAGCCTTCCACAAGCTTCCCACAATAAGTTGGGTGAATTTTGGCCCATTCCTCCTGACAGAGCTGGGGTAACTGAGTCAGGTTTGTAGGCCTCCTTGCTCGCACACGCTTTTTCAGTTCTGCCCACACAATTTCTATAGGATTGAGGTCAGGGCTTTGTGATGGCCACTCCAATACCTTGACTTTGTTGTCCTTAAGCCATTTTGCCACAACTTTGGAAGTATGCTTGGGGTCATTGTCCATTTGGAAGACCCATTTTTTTCGACCAAGCTTTAACTTCCTGACTGATGTCTTGAGATGTTGCTTCAATATATCCACATAATTTTCCTTCCTCATGATGCCATCTATTTTGTGAAGGGCACCAGACCCTCCTGCACCAAAGCACCCCCACAGCATGATGCTGCCACCCCCGTGCTTCACGGTTGGGATGGTGTTCTTCGGCTTGCAAGCACCCCCTTTTTCCTCCAAACATAATGATGGTCATTATGGCCAAACAGTTCTATTTTTTATTTCATCAGACCAGAGGACATTTCTCCAAAAACTACGATCTTTGTCCCCATGTGCAGTTGCAAACCGTAGTCTGTCTTTTTCATGACAGTTTTGGAGCAGTGGCTTCTTCCTTGCTGAGCGGCCTTTCAGGTTATGTCGATATAGGACTCATTTTACTGTGGATATAGATACTTTGTACCTGTTTCCTCCAGCATCTTCACAAGGTACTTTGCTGTTGTTCTGGGATTGATTTGCACTTTTCGCACCAAAGTACATTCATCTCTAGGAGACAGAATGCGTCTCCTTCCTGAGCGGTATGACGGCTGCATGGTCCCATGGTGTTTATACTTGCGTACTATTGTTTGTACAGATAAACGTGGTACCTTCAGGCATTTGGAAATTGCTCCCAAGGATGAACCAGACATGTGGAGGTCTACAATTTTTTTTCTGAGGTCTTGGCTGATTTCTTTAGATTTCCCCATGATGTCACGCAAAGAGGCACTGAGTTTGAAGGTAGGCCTTGAAATACATCCACAGGTACACCTCCAATTGACTCAAATGATGTCAATTAGCCTATCAGAAGCTTCTAAGCCATGACATCATTTTCTGGAATTTTCCAAGCTTTTTAAAGGCACAGTCAACTTAGTGTATGTAAACTTCTGACCCACTGGAATTGTGATACAGTGAATTATAAGTGAAATAATCTGTCTGTAAACAATTGTTGAAAAAATTACTTGTGTCATGCACAAAGTAGATGTCCTAACCGACTTACCAAAACTATAGTTTGTTAACAAGAAATTTGTGGAGTGGTTGAAAAATTAGCTTTAATGACTCCAACCTAAGCGTATGTAAACTTCCGACTTCAACCGTATCTCTGTGCTCTGTGCTCTGTACCATAGCTGCAGCGGCGTCCCAGTGCTGGCAGGGGGCGACGTATTCAGAGGCTGTGGTCTCCCCGGCCCTGAGGAGCAGCAATATCTTGCGGGTGCCGGAAGTGTCGTCTCTGGCGCAGTGTGCCGGGGCCTGTTGTGATCTGCCCGGTTGTAACCTGGCCTGGCTGTTTGAGCGTCGCTGCTACATCCTCAGCTGCCAGCATCGGGAGAACTGCCAGCCCAGACAGAGACCCGGAGCTGATTCCTATATGGCCTTCCTGCAGAGAGGACCCCCCCAGACCCTGCTGCTCCAGTCTCTGGTCAGGGGGGAGGCATACCCCAGTCGCTGGAGGCCCCGCCCCTCTGGGGACATAGAGGCCCTGAAGGACCTAGCCCTGTTAGATGGGCCCCAGACGGATTTTGGTGACCCAGGTGGGATGGATTTGGAATACCCTGAGAGTGAACTTGGCCCTGAGGATAAGGGTGGGGATCTTCCAGATTGGCCTGCAGCATTGGAAGGGAGGAATGGTTTCAACCTATCGGAAAGTGAAGGCAGGCTAGAGGGGCTGGGATTTGCAACAGAAGGGGCTGAGAGCAGCCTGCCCAGTCCTTCCACTGGGGCGACAGTCAGCCAAGGGGCACCCCCCATTGACCCCATGTCTGGCAATACACCTGAAAACAAGAAAGTAAGTGTCAGATGGAACAATGGGCAGGAATCATGACGCAACAAGAAATTATGGCATGGATAGGGTTGCAGGCATTATGAGGACCACATACAGTGGGGAAAAAAAGTATTTAGTCAGCCACCAATTGTGCAAGTTCTCCCACTTAAAAAGATGAGAGAGGCCTGTAATTTTCATCATAGGTACACGTCAACTATGACAGACAAAATGAGAAAAAATTTCCAGAAAATCACATTGTAGGATTTTTAATGATTTTATTTGCAAATTATGGTGGAAAATAAGTATTTGGTCAATAACAAAAGTTTCTCAATACTTTGTTATATACCCTTTGTTGGCAATGACACAGGTCAAACGTTTTCTGTAAGTCTTCACAAGGTTTTCACACACTGTTGCTGGTATTTTGGCCCATTCCTCCATGCAGATCTCCTCTAGAGCAGTGATGTTTTGGGGCTGTCGCTGGGCAACACAGACTTTCAACTCCCTCCAAAGATTTTCTATGGGGTTGAGATCTGGAGACTGGCTAGGCCACTCCAGGACCTTGAAATGCTTCTTACGAAGCCACTCCGTTGCCCGGGCGGTGTGTTTGGGATCATTGTCATGCTGAAAGACCCAGCCACGTTTCATCTTCAATGCCCTTGCTGATGGAAGGAGGTTTTCACTCAAAATCTCACGATACATGGCCCCATTCATTTTTTCTTTCCTTGGCCCCAGATCGAGGGAGATTATCAGTGGTCTTGTATGTCTTCCATTTCCTAATAATTGCTCCCACAGTTGATTTCTTCAAACCAAGCTGCTTACCTATTGCAGATTCAGTCTTCCCAGCCTGGTGCAGGTCTACAATTTTGTTTCTGGTGTCCTTTGACAGCTCTTTGGTCTTGGCCATAGTGGAGTTTGGAGTGTGACTGTTTGAGGTTGTGGACAGGTGTCTTTTATACTGATAACAAGTTCAAACAGGTGCCATTAATACAGGTAACGAGTGGAGGACAGAGGAGCCTCTTAAAGAAGTTGTTACAGGTCTGTGAGAGCCAGAAATCTTGCTTGTTTGTAGGTGACCAAATACTTATTTTCCACCATAATTTGCAAATAAATTCATAAAAAATCCTACAATGTGATTTTCTGGATTTTTTTTCCTCAATTTGTCTGTCATAGTTGACGTGTACCTATGATGAAAATTACAGGCCTCTCTCATCTTTTTAAGTGGGAGAACTTGCACAATTGGTGGCTGACTAAATACTTTTTTTCCCCACTGTACATGTTTGTCAGGAAATATATGTTTTATGTTCCATTGATCCAATACAGCGATTAGGATTTAGATAGCTCACAATTAGTGGACAAACTGGCCATGGAAAAGCAGTATGTCTAAATTAAGGCAGACAGTTGGAAATATCTCCTGTAAAGACAGCTGGGACATTTTAAATAGGGTTACTTCCCTGAGGTGTGATAAATGGTCACCCAGCTGACAGTCTGCATATATGTGTGTGTTATTACAGTGGCATTTTGCTGACTCAATTGCTCTGTAATCACAGTCACTCAGCGCACCTGCCCTTCACATTTCCTTTGAGGATAGGACATACTGTAGTCAATATAGCTTCTCTTGCCAATGTAGGCTTGTCAGCCATTCCCAGGAGGTTGATTTAGAGAGAGTGTTAATTTGGAAACGAGCAACACAGATTCTATATTAGAGAGTCTTCATTTACTAATACGAATACTAATATATTTGCTGTTGTGTTTTCATTGTAGGATAGTGAACTACAGAACACATCCTTGGCCAGCTCAGGGCCAACATTCATGCCCAAACCACAGAATGACAGTGTTCACTCCTCCCAACCGAGCCAAATAAGGACTTCCCATCCCACTGAAGCCCCATCTCATCTGTCCAGTACTGTACCACTGACCACATCCACACAGACAGGTACTGCAGTAGGGTTTTGTTCATTGGATATTTTACCTTTATTGGTGATTGTAGGTAGTCTTTCATAGTCTTTGTTCTCCCTGTTACATAACCTGTTTCTATCTCATATTTTCTTGTTTTATTCCCAATCTCTTGTCTCTGTATAATCTGACAATCCTGTAGAGCTAACGTTGCCCAGGGACACGGTGGAGCTGGTAGCCTCCGTCAGCCCAGAGCCCCAAACTGGTACAGTCACAAACACAAGGGTTTTTACAAGCATGATCTGAAGTTTATTTTCTGGATTGATTAGAAATGGTACACAGCAGTCACACATTGCTGACAGTCCTAATGGATGGAATATTAGACCCCCAAAGCAGTCACCCTCCCAGTAACCCAGGTCGTGTCACTTCCTGCCAGCTCAACCATCATCAACGGCAGCTGTATGAAATAGTTGGCTTTGGATGGTGACTAACCTTACCATAATTTTACTCTTTACTTTTAGAGTAGGCCTACATTCTAGAATAGATAAACACATCAAATGAATGATTGGAGTCACAGCTCCAATGTACCATAAAACACACTTATATGAATACAAATACTACACACTGACTGTGTGTGGTTAATGTAAACTTTTATTTTCAAACGAATAGATGCTGCAAACCTAAACTGAAAAGCAAATGTTGTTAGTGCTTGCGTACGTATGTGTGATTGGCTATGTGGCTAGGTGCAAATGCATATGAGTAAAAATGAATGACTCTAGATTTCTTCTGGCTGGGAGGGATATTGAAGAAGCGTTTGGATTTGGATTTGGAGTTGAGTTCTACTCGTTCCATCTGGCTGGCTGCTCTCTTCTGTCCCCTGCCAGACTCCCCTGGGGTACAGGTTGAGCTTCCTTGTTCCATCTGGCTGGCTCTTATCTTTTGCCCCTTGTTGCTAGACGCCTTATCTGACGTACTAGCAGAGCCCCCTTCAATCTGGCTGGCTGTTGTCTTCAGTCAGGTGCTGCCACGGACGGGTTTCACACCGTCGCAACTTGAGGAGATTGAAGATCCATTTAGGCCTCTGCAGCTGACTCCATTTCTTTTCCAGTTCCTTTATTTTTATAACATGTTTTAGCCTTCCAATCTTTTCATTTCTTTCTTTGTTATGTTGTTCAGCTGCTTCTCTGTCAGTGGGCAGGAAACGTGGCCAGGCACCTGATTGGCACTGCCCTCCACATGCTAAACAGCACTCTGGGACAGGACTGGACACTGTGAGGCCTGCTGGGATGGCTTAGGACATGACAAATCCTTCTGAGAAGAGCCTGGACAACCAACCTTCCTCAGGATCATCCTGATTGCATTGGGGTTGCTGGGGTCAACAAGCAGGATGGACTCATATCGGACTTTAGCCTTTTGGGGCTTTGACAGGTGGCTCAGGTCACTGTGAGCGGCTTGGCCTTTTGAGCCAAGAGATGGAGCTGTGACTTTTACCCTTGGAGACCAGAGATTTGACATGTTCGCCACTGTCACTTTGGAGCCTGTGATTCTCCTCTGACTTAGATATATGAAAAGTAGGGAAAATGTTAATTGAGTTTACAAGCTGATTTTACAGTATTTCTTATAGCGACAATACACACTGTTTGCTTGATATATAAATACTCTGTGAGGACTTCTGGGGTATTCCTAATGAACATTAGAGCATATTTTACAGAATGGCTTTCAGGCCAAGCTAGACTACTTTAACATAACATTAGGGTCGCATTTTAAAATAAATCATGTCAAATACTGAAAAAAATGGATACTAGAACAAAACATCACAATAAAAGAGGGCAACGGTGAAGCGGCCATTTCCATCGTGGCGTGCATATTCTACTTCTAAACATCGTATAAATGATCGGAGAGGTTGAGAGTAGAAGAAGTTCAGGAGCAAAAAAAAATAAAATAAATAGAATTCATGTAAAATTGACTGTGTCCATAAGGTGTAGATAGTAAGTATAGGCTGGAAGTAGAGGCCTGGGCATTGTTGTTCACTAATTTACCCCAAGTAGGGAAAGGATGGCGGGGTTGAAAAGTAATAAAGGGGAGTATATATATAAAAAACATGGGGGATTGGAAGTGATGCAGACAATTACATTGATAGAAGTTACAATCTATCTGCAATATTAAGCTGATATACCCCCATAAAAAAAAAAATAATAATAATAACAATTTACTGTATTATTGTAAACAAAATAAAATATCTGTTTCAGATATCGTGTAATTTAATAATTTGTAACCGAATCCCTGAGCCGACTAGGTGAAAAATCAGTTGACGTGCCCTTGAGCAAGGCACAACCATAATTGCTCCTGTATGTAGCTCTGGATAAGAGTGTCTGCTAAATGACTAAAATGTAAATGTAAGACTATATTCATTAAACCCCCCCACCTCCCCTCCCCGCAAAAAACATAATCGAGAAATGTTTTTCGCATCAGTGTGTTTTTTCTTTTCCAAGTTTGTAACAACCTCAATAAATAATTTGGCCTAGCTGTTTGGTTAATGTATTATCTAAATATTTATCATTATGACAGTCCCCCAAAATGAGAAATGGTAAGGAGAAATGTTCCCCTGTGGACGTGGAGATGCTACTGGACTTGGTGTTGATGAATCAGTAGAGGGCAGTCTTCTCCCTTGTCACCAGAGCAGTAGTATCTGACAGATGAATCAACATTACAGATAAAGGAGTTTAGTCTAATATCAAAATACTGGCCTAAGAGCAATTAGGGCCTGCACACTTAAATGCTCCACCGTTTATTGATGTGAAACAAAAACAATGTTTCAATCGAAAATGAAGATCTGGTTTGGGTCTAAACATTGTCTTACTGCTGTATTTCAATAACGTTAGCCAGTATTTAAATCTGTTGGAGAATTTGAGTCTGCAGGTCCTATTCAATTAGACTACAGATTCTATCAAGCACCCACCTAATAAGATATTATGTGCGTCCGTTTACAGAATAGATTTGGCCTATATTATGACGATCTTGTGTTTGATGGTCCCCCACAGAGATTACTGATGATGGAGTGATCATCAGCCATCACTGGGAGCAGGTTGGAGGTCCATCCATAGAGCTTGGAGCTTTCTTGGACACACAGATTCTCAACCTATCCAACCTTGGCCCCTGGGGAGTACACGTTCAGGTATGGATAGAACCTCTGCGGCCTAGAGTTGGGATCCAATTCAGTTTCATCGCAGTCAATTCAAGGCTTGAAATTCAAATAATGAATGGAAAAAAATAAATTAAATCGTTTTGGTATGCTGCTCTATCATGGCACACAGGTCAGACTGCACTAATAGTTACAGTGTGTGGTCTCTATTAATCATAGTTGGTGTTTAACTAACAGGAATACAGGACCAAAGGTTTTCTGCCTTTAGGTAGTTATATCTTCCCTATAAAAAACCTTAGTTGACTTTTAAAATGAAGCCTCATGGAAATGTGACATAGATTCTGTGTAAGACATTACCATCAATGTTTCCCCCACCACTACAATACAAGCGTACAAGAGTAGCTGGATTCATCTTGATTCTTTCCAGGCTGACCGTTATAGATTCTGACGGGTTGTCAGACTTCACCACAGCTACAGTGGTGGAGAATGACCGACTGCCCTACCCCAGCCATACCCTCACTCCCACCTCCAGCCCTGGCCTTGCTGCTACCCTGGCCCACAGGCAGGTTGACCCTACTGCAGCCACCTCCTCTGTCAGTGCCTCTGCCACTCAGAAGACAGGTAAATGACATAAAGGCACTATTAAGATTATAACAGAGTATCAGATACGTTCTACAACATTGGATTGTCCTCAGGCAGTTTACCTCAGGCATACCTTTACCTTACTCCACCTAGTAGTAAACCCAAGGTAAAGCCAAGGGTATCAAAACATACATAGGACATGTTTCAACAAATGATCTGTTTTTCTCTGTCCCATAGAGAACAAAATCACCCCCATAGCTGAGGTCAAGGAGTCCAACAGAGCCCCTGTGGCTGTAGTGGGTCCTAACATGCAGCTGACCCTCCCAGTGACCAGCGTCACCCTGGACGGAAGCAGCAGCACTGATGACCACGCCGTCACCAGCTACCACTGGGACACCATCAGGTACCAACGCTGTTCATATAGGTCAAAGGTTGAGTCCAGAAAAGTCTATAAAGATATGAAGAACAAGCTGAAGAGCCTTCTCACAATGTCATTTTCTGTGTTGTTTTGTAGTGGTCCTCCAGGGTCAAGGACAGAGGGTGTGGACAAGGCCATAGCCATAGTAACGGGCCTCAGAGCGGGCCGCTACACATTTAGGCTGACTGTGGGTAACCAGGAAGGGCTGACAGACAGTGCCTTGCTCACAGTCAGGGTTCAAGAGGGTAAGGAAACACAGGTTGGCATTTATTGGGATGGAGGCAGCTCTGCAGAGTAGTTACTAGCTGGCACAAAGTAATACAATCTGATTTTAAACCTAACCGTAACCACACTGCTAACGCTAATGCCTAACCCTAACAATAATTAATGACAATAAACATCAACCTGCTAACAGAACACTCATGAGGCTTCAAACACAGCAATATGAGACATCATCACCAAGGCTGGTTGAGTATGATGGCATTCATCTAAAGCCTGCTGTCCATCCTCCCTCAGCCAGAAGCCTTTCCCCTGTAGCACATGCCAGTGGCAGCCACACCCTCACCCTGCCCAACAACTCCCTGGTGCTCAGAGGCTCAGTGACGGATGGTGACCCAGCCAAGGTGCACTTCCTCTGGGTCCGGGACAGTCAGAGCCCTGCTGCTGGGGTGAGTGAGAGGAGTCTTGATACTTAGGTATATGGTAAATATAGTTTGAACTTGTAATATGCTGTTAGCTAAACAGGTAGAAAGTAGGAACGACTGTAAGGTAGGAACTACTCTGTCCTGTCGTTCCCCCAGGACGTGCTGTATGGTTCAGAGCAGCAGGCCTCCCTGTACCTGGCCAACTTGGTGGAGGGGACCTATCTGTTCCAGCTGCGTGTCACAGACACCCAGGGACGCAGCAGCACCGCCACAGCCACCGTGGAAGTGCGGTCAGGTAGATGTGTGTGTGTTCTCAGACTGTGTGTCCCCCGGACCATGATGAGCATTAGGAGGAAGAGCTGAACAGCACGTACAGCATATGTGTGTTCTGACAGAGTATGTATGTCCTCAGACTGTGTGTGTGTGTGTCCACAGACCCTGGTGGACGTGAGGAGGTAGAAGTGGAGATGTTGGTGGCGGTGGCCCAGGTGAGTGTGTCTCAGAGGGACACAGTGCTCAGACAGTTGGCCGCACTGCTCCACGTCCTGGACAATGACATCCACCTCAGGGGCCAAAGGGGACACTCAGACCTCAGGTACTGCCCAATGCAGCAAACACATACAAAACACACATGCTTTTCTTACACATTGTATTATTACATTGTTCATGTGTATTCTCTGTGTGTGTGTGTGTGTGTGTGTGTGTGTGTGTGTGTGTGTGTGTGTGTGTGTGTGTGTGTGTGTGTGTGTAGCACAGTATTGAGGTTCTCAGTGCAGGGTCCTGAGGGGCCAGTCTCTGGTCCTAAACTGGCCAGTGTGCTGCGTGATCAGCTGCTGAGGGAGAAGACTGACTACCTGCTCTTCAGAGTCCTTCGAGTGGATACAGTCAGTGAGTACCACAACACAGAACACCACATCTTACCTTATCATACCATATTGTATTATAGTGGATAGCATTATATCAAAGCCTGTTACAATGTTATAGCAACATTATAGACCATCTCTGATTATATTACATGAGAGAGATGAAAGTAGACTAGATGACATCTCATCACTTGGTGACTAAGAAGGCTGTCTGTCTTTGTCCTCTGCCTTGGTATATGCTGATCATGTTTGTGTATTGGTGTTCATCCCACATCCCACTCAGTGTGCTTGCTACGCTGCTCGGGCCGTGGGACGTGTGACCCAATCACCAAGGAGTGTGTCTGTGACCCCTTTTGGACAGAGAACCTCATTCGCCGGTTCTTTGGCGATGGAGAGAGCAACTGTGGTGAGCTATGTTCATTCATCGGTCCTGAGAGGATGATATACTTGTTGCCCGTCTGCTGTGAGATGCTACATTCACAGTGCCAGTCCTTTCTCTCTTCTGTTTGGCAGAGTGGCGGGTTCTCTACTTCATCCTGGCCTTCTTCATGGTCATTGTCCTCATCGTGACAGTCAACTGCGCGTGTGTCTACTGCTGCAAAAGGTGACTTTTCCTTTCTTGCTCAGACACACCGGAATGTCCTATATAGATTGTATGAATGGCTGTTTGTTAAAGGCCCAGTGCAGTCAAAAATGTGATTTTTCCTGTGTTTTATATACAGTGGGGAGAACAAGTATTTGATACACTGCCTATTTTGCAGGTTTTCCTACTTACAAAGCATGTAGAGGTCTGTAATTTTTATCATATGTACACTTCAACTGGGAGAGACGGAATCTAAAACAAAAATCCAGAAAATCACATTGTATGATTTTTTAGTAATTAATTGGCATTTTATTGCATGACATAAGTATTTGATCACCTACCAACCAGTAAGAATTCCGGCTCTCACGGATCTGTTAGTTTTTCTTTAAGAAGCCCTCCTGTTCTCCACTCATTACCTGTATTAACTGCACCTGTTTGAACTCATTACCTGTATAAAAGACACCTGTCCACACACTCAAACAAACAGACTCCAACCTCTCCACAATGGCCAAGACTAGAGAGCTGTGTAAGGGCATCAGGGATAAAATTGTAGACCTGCACAAGGCTGGGATGGGCTACAGGACAATAGGCAAGCATATTGGTGAGAAGGCAACAACTGTTGGCGCAATTATTAGAAAATTGAAGAAGTTCAAGATGACGGTCAATCACCCTCGGTCTGGGGCTCCATGCAAGATCTCACCTCGTGGGGCATCAATGATCATGAGGAAGGTGAGGGATCAGCCCAGAACCTCATGGCAGGACCTGGTCAATAAACTGAAGAGAGCTGGGACCACAGCCTCAAAGAAAACCATTAGTAACACACTATGCCGTCATGGATTAAAATCCTGCAGCGCACGCAAGGTCCCCCTGCTCAAGCCAGCACATGTCCAGGCCCGTCTGAAGTTTGCCAATGACCATCTGGATGATCCAGAGGAGGAATGGGAGAAGGTCATGTGGTCTGATGAGACAAAAAATATAGCTTTTTGGTCTAAACTCCACTCGCCGTGTTTGGAGGAAGAAGAAGGATGAGTACAACCCCAAGAACACCATCCCAACCGTGAAGCATGGAGGTGGAAACATCATTCTTTGGGGATGCTTTTCTGCAAAGGGGACAGGACGACTGCACCGTATTGAGGGGAGGATGGATGGGGCCATGTATCGCGAGATCTTAGCCAACAACCTCCTTCCCTCAGTAAGAGCATTGAAGATGGGTCATGGCTGGGTCTTCCAGCATGACAACGACCTGAAACACACAGCCAGGGCAACTAAGGAGTGGCTCCGTAAGAAGCATCTCAAGGTCCTGGAGTGGCCTAGTCAGTCTCCAAACCTGAACCCAATAGAAAATCTTTGGAGGGAGCTGATAGTCCGTATTGCCCAGCAACAGCCCCGAAACCTGAAGGATCTGGCGAAGGTCTGTATCGAGGAGTGGGCCAAAATCCCTGCTGCAGTTTGTGCAAACCTGGTCAAGACCTACAGGAAACGTATGATCTCTGTAATTGCAAACAAAGGTTTCTGTACCAAATATTAAGTTCTGCTTTTCTGATGTATCAAATACTTATGTCATGCAATAAAATGCAAATGAATTACTTAAAAATCATACAATGATTGATAAAAATTACAGACCTCTACATGCTTTGTAAGTAGGAAAACCTGCAAAATCGGCAGTGTTTCAAATACTTGTTCTCCCCACTGTATATACAGTATAGCCACACTATGAGGTTGGTATAATACTTTGAAATTGTGAAGATAATGCCCTTTTAGTGTAAGAGCTGTTTGAAAAGACCGCCTGAAATTTCTGCCTGTTTTGGTGGGATGGGGTTTTGGCCTGCCTGGTGCAATTTTTGTTTATTTTTGACCATTTTAATTGAAAACAATCACAGTAAGGTACTTAATTGTTACCCAAAAATTATTTGTTATAGAGATTTTAAAAAGGCTGCATTGGACCTTTAATAGAAATGTGGGTTTTTGTTATGTTTAGGAGGGGGCGCACTAAGGTCAGGAAGAAAACTAAGTACACTATACTGGACAATATGGACGAACAGGAGAAAATGGAGCTGAGGCCCAAATACAGTAAGTGTCTTCTTTTTCATTCAACACATTTCCTGTGAAGTTTGGTGACCCTGATCTACCCAGTCTGTCCCCTTCTCAGACATCAAACACAGGAGCACGGAGCACAACTCCAGCCTCATGATGTCCGAGTCAGAGTTGGACAGTGACCAGGACACCATCTTCAGCCGCGACCGACCGGTCCGGAGCAGAAACCGGACTCAGGCTGCCCGCAACGGGAACACCTTCGGATGAGCAGGAACACACTGAAGTGGGGTGGTTATCGGACAACATGAGTGAAACCCACTTTTGCGATTATTGCCGGGGTGCACAGCTCGAGTCCTCGAGTGCAATAGTGACTGCTTGTTTTCGGTCTCGTCTTCTATTCAAATACTGGTTTCGACCAGGTCTGTACTTTCTATGACATTCATTGGACAACTCAGCACCAGGGAAATGTGAAAATCCAAGGGCCGTAATGGACTAGAGTTGGGCATCACTGGATTCTGGGGAAGTTTACATACATACAGACTGTTTGAATGACTCAACACTAAGGATGAAGGTGCTCTTTGTGAGGAGCACAGTGAGGTTCTGTGGCCTCACATACTTCTACAGATAACCAGATTGGTGAATGTACATACAACTATCCATTATGCATACTAGTCTACCGACTCCTACTGACCTTTAACTTTGCCTTGTTATCCGAGAATGACACGTCTTAGATTTAAAGGTTTTTTACTGTCATTATTTTGTAGGAAATGGAGACAAGCCCAACCCTGATTGTGAGCGCCTGATGCCTCTCCTGTAAATTATTTGACAAATTGGATTTGTCGAAATGGCTTGAGTGCACATTTTGGGAAAAGTCTCATAATTCTTACGTTCAGTACCCAAAGTCCATCTTGTGATGCTAATCAGAATCTAACTCAATTTATCTGTGATCTCTCTCTATGAGTGTCTTGGACTTTGACACAATACAACACAGCATATTACTGTATTTGAACTACTGTATTGAGCTTGCAGACTTGTCCTCCAAACTAGTTGTATAGCTTTGGTATCTTTCTCATTTTAAAGCTTCTTTATGCTAAATAAGCATAATGGTCTTGTAAATGGGCCCGAAGAAACAGAACCAGGCATTTCATGGGACAATCCATAAAGGTGCCAAAATGCACTATTCACCATAAGCCTGTGGCTGACAGAGACCCTATTCTATCCAAGTATTTGGTAATGCATCTTTTCTTCCTTCCCTTGGTAAGATCTATTATCCAACCTGAACATGGTGGGTAACATGCTTTCAATCAGTAATTCCTTTGAGTAATGATGGAAAATGTTTTCTTGAATTCAGTGTCAGAGAATGTCTGATTACATAAGTATAGTGCAAACAAATTATTGACAGGACGGTCAGGACCCACAGTTCAAGGGTTAAGAAGAGGACGGATGGTATTGATAAGTAACGTTACTATGCAGGACAGGTAACCGTCGATGGAATGGATAAAATACTTCAGTCATTAAAGCAACATAAGCATGTCCAATGGTTGCTTTACATTTTTTGTTTTCATAAGGGACTGGGGAGATATTTCCCCAATATGGATGGAAACACTACAGCCATGTTGGTATATTCATGCATTTTTCCCATTACGCCACCCAATTTTTGGTATATGCTTTGTTTACTTAACTAATTACAGCTACCAATGTTTTTACAGATAATATATTGCCAAAAACAAACCAAATGCATCAAATCAATGAACGGTGTAGTGAATTCTGTGTCACCTTCTTTCCTGTCCAAAATGATCTAAGGCAGTGTTTCCCAACCCTGGTCCTCCAGTACCCTCAACAGTACACATGTTTATTGTAACCCTGGACAAGCACACCTGATTCAACTAGTCAACTAAACATCAAGCCCTCAATGAGCTGAATGAGGTGTGTTTGTCCAGGGCTACAACAAAATGTGTACTGTTGGGGATACTCGAGGACCAGGGTCGGGAAACACTGATCTAAGGTAAACCAACTGATATTGTTCGACAAACAACAAAGTAACTCACAGTAATTTAATTTTTAATTTTCTGAAGTACTCCATTAATATTTACAATTGTTACAAATATTATTTTTTACAATGAGAATGTCACAACTAGAAAACAGAATTTGTAAAATTATTCAAACGGTACTTAGGGGACAATGTTTGGCAAGACATTACTTCAGTTTCAGAGAACACAACGTTTACATTGCAGGCTCAGATACAGCACGTAGTTTGTCCCACCTGTCTGAATATCGTAAGGCAGCTCTACTGTATAATATATTGTATGTGGGAAGACTAGTTACCTACAACAACATAATAAGCTATACTAATGTAGTGGCATGGCCTAAAATAGATCGTTTTTGTTAGTAGTTAGGACAGTTCAAAAAAACGAATTTACAACAGAGGACGCTACACACAGTACATTTCATTCTAACTGCTTAGCCCAACAAGGCTATTCCTCAACGGTTACAAAAATATTGTAATTCATAATATCACCACATTATTATCAAGCGACATATCTAATACATCTAGCTTACCACAGGATTTCAGGCATTTGGATACAGCCAAGCTCCCTTTTCTAGAAAATAGATAAAGTATCTTGTGCGTATTAATAATCTCGCTATTTGCAATTGATGTGCTTTTTAAATCTACCCAACTCTATGCTAGGCTTCAAGTTATACAGTGTTCCTCATTGAGGGACCAATCCTACATTGAGAATGCACGTTTGTTCATTTGTATCTCAACATATGATTCAGCCCTAAAGGTCAAGATAGTCATGGGATCCCACAGGTTGGAGAAGTGCATGGGGTTATGTCCAAATACTCTTTTGGCTTCCTATCCTCTTTTGTAAGGGGCTTCCTTCCTACCCCTAAAAAGTTCAATTTCAGTTGTTTTTATCTCAATATCAAATAATTTCTGGGTAACAATTAAGTACCTTACTGTGATTTTTGACCATTTTAATTGAAAACAAAGAAAAAAAAATAGCTTCTTAGCAAAGAGCAATTTCTCAAGCAAGAATTTTGCTAAGACTGGCTGGGAGTGGTCTGATTGAGGAAGGGAAAACCGAAAATGAGAGGTTATTGGCAGAGAGGTTTGTAACTCTTTCTTATTGGTCTATTGTGGTCCTCTGTAGCTCAGCTGGTAGAGCACGGCGCTTGTAACGCCGGTAGTGGGTTCGATCCCCGGACCACCATACACAAAAATGTATGCACACATGACTGTAAGTCGCTTTGGATAAAAGCGTCTGCTAAATGGCATATTATTATTATTAACCAAGTTACCACCTGGTGATGTCACCAGGCAGGCCAAAACTCCATCTCACCAAAACAGCCTGAAATTTTCAAACACCTTTTAAAATAAAAGGGCTTTATCATCATTTTCACAATATTATTCCAACCTCAAGTGTGAAAATATATATAGAAACACAGGACAATCATGTTTTTGACTGCACTGGGCCTTTTAACTGACCTGGAGAACTGGTTTGGGTTGTCACCATATTGCTTACCCTTCACCAGTTCTTATAGACCAGTGGATAGAGAGGATGAGGAGAGGAAACCATGTAGAGCATGGAACTGGGGACAAGGATTTCTCAGCAGCTTCACATATCTATGAACCATTGCATTAGGGATAATACTGCAACCATCAATGGCATTTTCAATATTATGAAAGGTTTTCCCTATACTCCATACCAGCCTGCAGCACTCCAAGTTAATTTGTACTGCATTAACATATGTTTGTTATTATTTATGTCCCTGTATCTGAGCGATGAATGCTCTCAAGTCTCTCAATGACAAAATATGCAGAGGTTCAGAATCACAATTTGTGAAGGAATCATATTTGATGACTGTCATCCATTGTTGTTTTTAAAAATGTGAAATATGAGTAAGTAACTGTTACTAGAGCCTCTAAGAATCCTCCTTTTTTCCCCCAAATCACTGCTTCCTACTTGGGGGGGGGGGGGGGGGGGGGGGGGGTTGTAGTGGTCCCTCAGGGGGTTAGCCCCCCAAAGCACATGTACTTGACGTCCAGGTACTCCTCAATGCCGTACTTGGAGCCCTCACGGCCCAGGCCCGACTGTTTGACACCGCCGAAGGAGGCCTCTGGGGTGGAGAGGAGACCTTCGTTCACCCCCACCATGCCTACCTCCAGATTCTCTGCCACCCGCCAGATCTGACTGACGTCCTGGGAGAAGAAGTACCCTGGGAGGGGGTGGAGCAGAGTGTAGTTGAATGAAACTCATCAACTCAGATTGAGATAGACTTTCTATTGACATGAAATAGAGTAATCAGAATGTCTCTGTCAAATAATTATTCTTATTATAGTTTTGAGGGGTTTTCAGACATGCCAGCAAGGTGCATACAATAATGTTTAGCTCACCTGCTAAACCCACATGAGATGCATTGGCAATGGCAAGTGCTTCCTCCTCTGTGTTAAACCTGTCAAAAGGAAAAAGACAAAAAATAACTTGAGTTAGCTTCCATTTTAGCATCCATCCACGCTTCAGTTGTCTGATCTCTCCTAGCTCCACTGACCTAATGACGGGCAGGAGAGGACCGAAGGTTTCCTCTCTGGTACACAGCATGTCTGTGGTGACATCAGCCAGCAGAGTGGGCTGATGGAACGAGCCATCCAGACGCTTCCCCCCCCTTAGCACCTTGGCCCCCCGCGATACTGCATCCATTACCTGGTGCTCCACCTGGGAGAGACATAGGATATCATAAAGTTATGTAACATATCAGAATATAAACAACATTTTAACGCAAATAATACAGTTATAGTATAGTTATAATACAAACACCCTCTTGACAGAAGGAACCAGGTTACCTTCTCAGAGGCACGGACATTGATGAGGGGTCCCTGGGTGGTGTTTGGGTCAGAGCCGTGGCCCAGACGGAGCTCTGTGTCCATGGCTTTCCCCAACTTCTCTATGAAGCGATCGTGGATCCTACTCTGGACCAGGAAGCGGTTGGAGCAGACACATGTCTACAGGGATCAAAGTGCACATTGAGGGACATGGAGGTTAGGCCACGACTTAAGACACCCCGTTTTAGAATGACACGCAACATTTCGATATGGTGCATTTCACAGTTTCACCAGTACAGTAGACACAAAATGATTTGTTTTGAGATATCTCCTATTCTAGTACCTGTCCTGAGTTCCTGAACTTGGAGTTCATGGCTCCCGCCACAGCCTTGTCCACATCTGCACTGTCAAACACAATGAAGGGGGCATGGCCACCCAGCTCCATTGAAACCCTCTTGACAGTGTCGGCGGCGTGCTTTAAGAGAATCTGAGGACGAGGAAGGAGTTATCAGGAATATCACAGGCCTTTCCATGGAAAAATGATCCACCTACAAGATTTGAGACTAACATGAAGTTTATATTGTAATTTATATGGCATTTTCAGGATTGATTAAGCTAACTCTGAAGCCCTTCTAGATCAGTGTCCATACCTTGCCAGTGGCAGTAGATCCAGTGAAGGAGACCTTCCCCACCAGGGGGTCTGTGCAGAGGACCGTCCCAACAGAGGGGGTCTTCTCTCTGGAGCAGGGCACCACGTTAAACACCCCAGCAGGGATCCCGGCCTGACTCGCCAGCTTCACACACACAAAGTAAACATATGAATTAGACAAATGAAGTGTCTCACTATTGGGGACCCAGCTACAGTACACCGTGAGTGTTGTTGTGGGAAAGGAAGCACTGACCTCAGCAAGCGCCAGGGCAGAGAGGGGTGTATCCTCGGCAGGTTTCACCACGACGGTGCAGCCCGCGGCCAGGGCAGCACCCACTTTCCTGGTGATCATAGCACTGGGGAAGTTCCACTGTGTGTGTGTGTGTGGGATGAGGAGGAGAATAGGCTAGCTGTTACGCAGGAAGTGACAAGCATTACGGAGGTAGCTCTCCAGGACCAAAGTTGGACATTCCTGACATATACAGTTGAAGTCGGAAGTTCACATACACCTTAGTCAAATACATTTAAACTCAGTTTTTCACAATTCCTGACATTTAATCCTGTCTTAGGTCAGTTAGGATCACCACTTTATTTTAAGAATGTGAAGTTTCAGAATAATAGTAGAGAGAATTATTTATTTCAGCTTTTACTTCTTTCATCACATTCCCAGTGGGTCAGAAGTTTACATACACTCAATTAGTATTTGGTAGCATTGCTTTTCAATTGTTTAACTTGGGTCAAACGTTTCAGGTAGCCTTCCACAAGCTTCCCACAATAGGTTGGGTGAATTTTGGCCCATTTCTCCTGACAGAGCTGGTGTAACTGAGTCAGGTTTGTAGGCCTCCTTGCTCGCACACGCTTTTTCAGTTCTGCCCACAAATTTTCTATAGGATTGAGGTCAGGGCTTTGTGATGGCCACTCCAATACCTTGACTTTGTTGTCCTTAAGCCATTTTGCCACAACTTTGGAAGTATGCTTGGGGTCATTGTCATATAACCGCGATCGATAATAGACAGTACTGTGCAGCCGTCTTCATCGACCTGGCCAAGGCTTTCGACTCTGTCAACCACCGCATTCTTATTGGCAGACTAAATAGCCTTGGTTTCTCAAATGACTGCATCGCCTGGTTCACCAACTACTTCTCAGATAGAGTTCAATGTGTCAAATCGGAGGGCCTGTTGTCTGGACCTATGGCAGTCTCCATGGGGGTGCCACAGGGTTCAATTCTTGGGCCGACTCTTTTCTCCGTGTATATCAATGATGTCGCTCTTGCTGCTGGTGACTCTCAGATCCACCTCTACGACACCATCTTGTATACATCTGGCCCTTCATTGAACACTGTTAACAAACCTCCAAACGAGCTTCAACGAGCTACAACACTCCTTCAGTAGCCTCCAACTGCTCTTAAACACTAGTAAAACTAAATGCATGCTCTTCAATCGAACGCTGCTGGCACCCGCCCACCCGACTAGAATCACTACTCTCGACAGGTCTGACCTAGAGTATGTGGACAACTACAAATACCTAGGTGTCTGGTTAGACTGTAAACTCTCCTTCCAGACTCGCATTAGGAATCTCCAATCCAAAATTAAATCTAGAATCGGCTTCCTATTTTGCAACAAAGCCTCCTTCACTCATGCTGCCAAACATGCCCTCGTAAAACTGACTATCCTACCGATCCTTGACTTCGGCGATGTCATTTACAAAATAGCCTCCAACACTCTACTCAGCAAATTGGATGTAGTCTATCACAGTGCCATCCGTTTTGTCTCCAAAGCCCCATACACTACCCACCACTGTGACCTGTACGCTCTTGTTGGCTGGTCCTCACTACATGTTCGTCGTCAAACCCACTGGCTCCAGGCCATCTATAAATCACTGCTAGGCAAATCCCCGCCTTATCTTAGCTCATTGGTCACGATAGCAGCACCCACCCGTAGTCTGCGCTCCAGCAAGTATATCTCACTGGTCATCCCCAAAGCCAACACCTCCTTTGGCCGCCATTCCTTCCAGTTTTACTGCTGCCAATGACTGGAACAAATTGCAAAAATCTCTGAAGCTGGAGACTCTTATCTCCCTCACTAACTTTAAGCATCAGTTGTCAGAGCACCTTACCGATCACTGCACCTGTACACAGCCCATCTGAAATTAGCCCACCCAACTACCTCATCCCTATATTGTTATTTATTTTGCTCTTTTGCACCCCAGTATCTCTATTTGCACATAATCTCTTGCATTCCAGTGTTAATACTAATTGTAATTATTTTGCACTATAGCCTATTTATTGACTTACCTCCATAAATTGCTACATTTGCACACACTGTATATATATTTTCTGTTGTATTTTTTTACTTTTTTTTTTTACTTTTTTTTACCCCATATGTAACTCTGTTGTTGTTTTTATCGCACTGCTTTGCTTTATCTTGGCCAGGTCGCAGTTGTAAATGAGAACTTGTTCTCAACTGGCTTACCTGGTTAAATAAAATAAATAAAAATAGTCCATTTGGAAGACCCATTTGCGACCAAGCTTTAACTTCCTGACTGATCTCTTGAGATGTTGCTTCAATATATCCACATAATTTTCCTTCCTCATGATGCCATCTATTTTGTGAAGTGCACCAGTCCCTCCTGTAGTAAAGCACCCCCACAGCATGATGCTGCCACCCCCGTGCTTCAGGGTTGGGATGGTGTTCGTCGGCTTGCAAGCGTTCCCCTTTTTCCTCCAAACATAACGATGGTCATTATGGCCAAACAGTTATATTTTTGTTTCATCAGACCAGAGTACATTTCTCCAAAAAGTACGATCTTTGTCCCCATGTGCAGTTGCAAACCGTAGTCTGGCTTTTTTTTTTTTTTCTTCCTTGCTGAGCGGCCTTTCAGGTTATGCCGATATAGGACTCATTTTACTGTGGATATAGATACTTTTGTAACGGTTTCCTCCAGCATCTTCACAATGTCCTTTGCTGTTGTTCTGGGATTGATTTGCACTTTTCGCACCAAAGTTCGTTCATCTCTAGGAGACAGAACAAGTCTCCTTCCTGAGCGGTATGACATGGTGTTTATACTTGCGTACTATTGGTGTTTATACTTGCGTACTATTGTTTGTACAGATGAACGTGGTACCTTCAGGCGTTTGGAAATTGCTCTCAAGGATGAACCAGACTTGTGGAGGTCTACAATTCTATTTCTGAGGTCTTGGCTGATTTCTTTTGATTTTCCCATGATGTCAAGCAAAGAGACACTGAGTTTGAAGGTAGGCCTTGAAATACATCCACAGGTACACCTCCAATTGACTCAAATGACGTCAATTAGCCTATCACAAGCTTCTAAAGCCATGACATCATTTTCTAGAATTATCCAAGCTGTTTAAAGGCACAGTCAACTCCAACCGAAGTGTATGTAAACTTCCGACTTCAACTGTAGTAGATGTACACTGCTCAAAAAAATAAAGGGAACACTAAAATAACACATCCTAGATCTGAATGAATGAAATAATCTTATTAAGTACTTTTTTCTTTACATAGTTGAATGTGCTGACAACAAAATCACACAAAAATTATCAATGGAAATCAAATTATTCAACCCATGGAGGTCTGGATTTGGAGTCACCCTCAAAATTAAAGTGGAAAACCACACTACAGGCTGATCCAACTTTGATGTAATGTCCTTAAAACAAGTCAAAATGAGGCTCAGTAGTGTGTGTGGCCTCCACGTGCCTGTATGACCTCCCTACAACGCCTGGGCATGCTCCTGATGAGGTGGCGGATGGTCTCCTGAGGGATCTCCTCCCAGACCTGGACTAAAGCATCCGCCAACTCCTGGACAGTCTGTGGTGCAACATGGCGTTGGTGGATGGAGCGAGACATGATGTCCCAGATTTGCTCAATTGGATTCAGGTCTGGGGAACGGGCGGGCCAGTCCATAGCATCAATGCCTTCCTCTTGCAGGAACTGCTGACACACTCCAGCCACATGAGGTCTAGCATTGTCTTGCATTAGGAGGAACCCAGGGCCAACCGCACCAGCATATGGTCTCACAAGGGGTCTGAGGATCTCATCTCGGTACCTAATGGCAGTCAGGCTACCTCTGACGAGCACATGGAGGGCTGTGCGGCCCCCCAAAGAAATGCCACCCCACACCATGACTGACCCACCGCCAAACTGGTCATGCTGGAGAATGTTGCAGACAGCAGAACGTTCTCCACGGCGTCTCCAGACTCTGTCACATGTGCTCAGTGTGAACCTGCTTTAATCTGTGAAGAGCACAGGGCGCCAGTGGCGAATTTGCCAATCTTGGTGTTCTCTGGCAAATGCCAAACATCCTGCACGGTGTTGGGCTGTAAGCACAACCCCCACCTGTGGACATCGGGCCCTCATACCACCCTCATGGAGTCTGTTTCTGACCGTTTGAGCAGACACATGCACATTTGTGGCCTGCTGGAGGTCATTTTGCAGGGCTCTGGCAGTGCTCCTCCTGCTCCTCCTTGCACAAAGGCGGAGGTAGCAGTCCTGCTGCTGGGTTGTTGCCCTCCTACGGCCTCCTCCACATCTCCTGATGTACTGGCCTGTCTCCTGGTAGCGCCTCCATGCTCTGGACACTACGCTGACAGACACAGCAAACCTTCTTGCCACAGCTCGCATTGATGTGCCATCCTGGATGAGCTGCACTACCTGAGCCACTTGTATGGGTTGTAGACTCCGTCTCATGCTACCACTAGAGTGAAAGCACCGCCAGCATTCAAAAGTGACCAAAACATCAGCCAGGAAGCATAGGAACTGAGAAGTGGTCTGTGGTCACCACCTGCAAAACCAGTCCTTTATTGGGGGTGTCTTGCTAATTGCCTATAATTTCCACCTGTTGTCTATTCCATTTGCACAACAGCATGTGACATTTATTGTCAATCAGTGTTGCTTCCTAAGTGGACAGTTTGATTTCACAGAAGTGTGATTGACTTGGAGTTACATTGTGTTGTCTAAGTGTTCCCTTTATTTTTTTGAGCAGTGTATGAAGCGTTACAGCTCACCGGAGTGATGATGGAGGCCACTCCCACAGGCTGTTTGAGCAGAAGGATCTTACGGTCCTTGGCAGCCGAGGGCACAACATCACCGTAGACACGGCGCGCCTCCTCAGAGAACCACTCCAGGAAGCCAGCAGCGTAAGCAATCTCCCCCAGGGACTCCTTCATGGGCTTGCCCTAAGAGGTGTAGAACACACACTAGTGGTTTACAACTCAGAACGAAATACAAATCATTACAAGGACAGGGCAGCACCCCTGTTGCAACCAGCAAGACAATACTCACACACTCAAAGGTGATCAGCTTAGCAAGGTCCTCCTTGTTCAACGTCAACAGATCGTACCATTTCCGTAGAAGGACACTTCTTTCCTAAGGAAGAAAACAACATAATCAGATAATGGAATCAGTAAGTTGCAAGATCCATAAGAATCTGGAGGTCCCAGTCTGGTCTTACTAGTGGCTACTTTGCAGGCCAAGCAGTTCTTTGGCCAGGCCATTATAGAGCGTACACTACAGTACAGGCCCCAAAACAATGAACCCTGGGGTATAGGCTATGATGATTGTAATAGATATGCAATTGTGCACTTTGACTGTCTCTATTAGGTTATTATATTCTGCCTAACAGTCATGCCAGTCACAATATTTAGGGAAAGCAGCTGTCACACTGTTGATCTCATGCAACTAGGAAATGTGGGGAAAGCACAAGGGAAGGTGGTACTGATGAAGGAAAAAAATATAAAGATGTTATTCACAGAATTGTGAATTGTCAACTGACTGGCAGCATAATTAAAGTGGAGGCATACCTTCGCTGTGTGTTGCTTCCAGGAGTAGAATGCCTTGTAGGCTGCGTCGACAGCTAGTTTAGCTTCTGCTGGACCGCAGTCTGCGACTTTTGCAATCTCTTCCCCCGTCGCTGGGTCCAGCACTGGGAAGGTAGAGGGAGCATTGATCCACTGCCCGTTCACATAGCCCTGCGTTCGGAGAAGCTGAGCGGAAATGTCGAGGCTGTATTGCCGATGCATGACAGACGGTAGGCCTGGCAAAACCTGGCGGAGGAGACACCGACTTCTTAGGAGACAGAAACTACACATAGCACAAGAATAACTTTGTCCACAAGAGGTTTCAAGTGGAATTCCGTTTCGCTCTGTCAACGCAAAACTGGTGCAGTGACAGTGGTGAATTTTAATAAGGTTGTCGTCGGTGGATAGATACGAGTTTGAACCAGTCTTGAAGGCGGTCGCGTTAAACACGTGATCATGCACACACAATACATTACTGACTAAACCATAATTCGTGTGTTCCTTCGCTCAAAATAGATACATTGTAACACAAATGTCATTATCAAACGCTGCAAAATGTGTAGCTACATGTATTCACTGCAAATGCAACAAGCAAAGACAGTATAAGATATTAGGCTAGTTATAGTTATGAAATAAACTAATGTATAGATAAATAGCTTGTTACAACGTTACATCGTCTGTCTTTCCCATTGATGTGGTTATCTGGCCAATCCACAAACTTGGATATCTTAGCCCGCAAACTATAACCAGCTTCCCTGAAATGTAGGCTAACTGTAGGGATGTCAACATTGCATCATTAGCTCAGTCTTTATAGTCTCAAACCGACTTTATAAAGGACGCGAGATTAGTCAATCTACAAATCACATTGCATCAACTACTCAATGGGCTTGTTCGACATTGCAGCAGACTGCCGACTAATGATCTATAAATCACCTTGCATCATAAATAATTACTAATTATTTGTAGATCAGTCTGTCACAATTTACCCATGATACATTTAAGCAATGGCCCCGGGGGTGTGGTATATGGCCACTATACCATGTCTAAGGGCTGTTCTTATTGCAACATGCCTGGATACAGCCATTAGCCGTGGTATATTGGCCATATTTCACAAACCGTTGAGATGCCTTATTGCTATTATAAACTGGTTAACGTAATTAGAGCCGTAAAAATAAATGGTCATACCCATGGCATACGGCAGGGTTCTACATTTCCGGTCACGGAGGGCCGAAACACTTCTGTTTTTTATTTATACCTGGTTTTTAATTGCACTCACCTGGTGTCCCAGGTCTGAATTAGCCCCTGATTAGAAGGAGAGGATGAAAAACAGAGGTGTTTCGGCCCTCCAGGACCGGAATTGAAGAACCCTGGCATACGGTCTTACATATCACGGCTGTCAGCCAATCATAATTCAGGGCTCGAACCACCCCACATTTAATACTGTTTTGATCCTCTTGAACATGCCCCGTATTATTTAGTCCATGCTATCTGGGGATCCTTGGGACATCCCTAACCCCCATTGAAGTTGAAATGTAAAATGGTACGGGGGTATAAAAAATAATGTATGCACTAACTGTAAGTCGCTCTGGATAAGAGCGTCTGCTAAATGACTAAAATGTAAATGTATAAAGGTTAGTGTAGGAAGGTCCAAAGGATTCCAGATAGCACTGACCACTATTATTTGTAGATCAGTCAGGCAGTCACAATTTACATGACATCACGGTTTTGATGCAACTTAACAGGGCCAATATCTTATCTAACTGTTTACCGCCTTAGTTATGAGTGTCTTTGCTTTAACAAAACACTAGATAGACAAGTGTTTGTTCAAAAAAATTCTGATTTAATTTATATGCAGAACATTGTAAGACAATTTCATTCAATGACACTGTTACTTTGTCAAGGGTACATTGACCAAAAAGATGCAACTCTTCATTGAGCAAGGTAACAACTACATAAATCTAATCATCCTGTACTGCAGAGACAAAATAAGGACTAAAACAGGATCTCATCAAAAGGGAATGATTCTCAAATGTATGTACACATTTACATATAAAAACATGAAGTCTTATAAATGATATCAAGGAATATGTTTGAAAACTTGACTGTGACAATAAATACTTCTCAAAACTCAATTGAACAGCTTGGCATGCAAAACGATTTTACACAAAATGCCTAGGGAGAAGGGAAAACAGGAAGAATTCAGGGGTGGAATCATTAGTCCAAAACGTTTTGCAACAAACAGTTTACTCCAAACGTAAAACGAGTTTCTATATCTTCAAATTCCGGTAGGTCCCTCCCTGTTTGGTTCCTAGTGAATACACCCGAGCATACATACCACTGCCTTGTTGCTATGAGGCTGTTTCATGTGCATCAACACCACAGAGGGAAAGACTACATTTGAAATCCTCCACAAAAGACAAAGAAGAAAGGCAGTGGATAGCTATAGTAAGGGGCCTTATTCCATTTTGACTGGTCAATTCAGGAAATCAATTTAAAATCAACAATGTGTGAATTCATGCATTGCCTAAGGACATATTTCAATTTACAGTGACCAACCTTGAATCTCTAAACACTGTTCGTTTAGCCTAACACCCTTTGCTTGGGATCAGTAGAAAAACTGTAAAGTTAAATGTATTAACAAAGCACAGATTATTAACAAGCAATGACAAATGCATAAGCCTTAAGTAGCATGTTAAATATGACCTAAGCGAAGTGTGCAGTCAAGTTGGAAATGACAATACGGAAACATATAAAAACATTTTCAATCAAATAAAAACAAACACATACAGAAGTAAAACTGGGGGTTTGAGCAGTTATAAGAAGGTAGGCACATTCTTTTGATTATCCTTTTCCAGCATTGGAACATTCACACAGTTATTGGTCACAAGGACCGTTTTCATGTTCTTTAGGAAATCAGCTGCAGAGAAGAAAAACAAAAAATGGTTATACAAAGAAATCAACAGTCTGCCAACAGATAAAACATAATTGAAAAGCATTCACAAACACATTCTTGGGGGTAATGACATATTTTGACAGTCGTTAAGGCAAGCACAGTGCTGCTATTCCAGAACACCAAGGGAGGACAGGTTACTCACCGTTTTTACCGTCTGCTTGACATAGTCCTTTCTGCTGGTCAGGTCATGCTCTGGGTATGTGTCGTACACCTGGGACAGAGAAGTTGTTGTGTTAAGAGACTTTTACAGGTAAACCAACCATCACTGTGATATCAAATCAGAGGGGTTTGAGGAGCAAACATACTTTCTGGCAGATCTTCTTCATGGTCATCTCCTCCAGGTTGGCGTCTTTCAGCAGCCTCTTCACAGTCTCCTTCAGCTGCTCATCTGTCGGAGGCTTCTTGATCATCTTGCTCAACGGCTCATCGTCGTCCGAGCTGTCGAGTGCTGCTATTTAGGAAAACAAGCAGACAAAAACATAACAATAAGCACTAGGCTACAGGTTGCCAATGACGTATGAAACGTGCTATAAAAGTCAATCTACAGATTCTTACCATTGCCCTTGTTGGCAGTCTTTTTCTGTTTGTTACTGCTGCTGTCTGCTTTCTTGGTCTTAGCTGCTGGCTTGGCCGGTGCTGCCCTCTTAGCTGCTGGTTTCTTTTTTGGCTGAGGACAAATCAATCCATGAGTTCACTCCATTACGTCGCTCACCATTAGTTCAAGATAAAAAGGCAAATGGGTAAAAACCCTATCCAGAAGACATAATAGACATGATCTATTACATAATAATTACATACAACAAAGAATTAAAATATGGACACAAACCAAAACGGTTGACTTTTGTATTCACAAGATTTGCTGTGAGTTTAGCAAATCCAGAATCTGAGACAGATTGACAGAAGTCTCACCTTCTCAACTTCACTCTCGCTGTCTTTCTCCCTCATCTTCTTCATCCTTGTCTGAATCAGACTCGGACTGGTCGGAGTCTTCCTCTTTTGTCTTCTTTTTGGCAGGAGCTGCCTTCTTTGCTGGTTGTGTACGCTTCTTGGCAGGTGTTCTATTGCCCTTGGCTGCTGGATTTGACTTGGACTCCTGATTGGTAGGAGAGAAGGGACTTCTATGGTTAATCTTTGAGTGACAGAACAGGCTGACAGTTCACTTTCTACAGTTCTACAATATTTATATAGTGGCACTAGTATCATGCAAGATCAAATAGGGAAAATATCAATTTCCAATGGACAATACCTATCAGTTTACATTACAACATTTCAGTTCTCTTCACCTCTTCGTCGTAGTCATCAGAATCATCGGTATCTTCATCGGTCGTCACCTTTTCCCTCTTTCCCGATTTCCCGCTCTTCTTTTCAGCGTCCGACTCGTCTTGTTCTACTGTGACTCCTTGCTCGTCGTCATCATCACTGCTGGAATCAGTGACGATGGCTTTGGACTTGCTCTCTGCTTTGGCCTTCCGGGGGCTGCTGGATGTACTCTTCGCCTTAGCCTTGGTCTTGCTCTTAGAGTCTTTGGTTGAGATATTCTTCTTAGACTTCTTCTTCCTCTTTGAGATCACAGGCTGCAGGTGGGAAGGACAGAATTATAGGTAGGGCCTATACATTTTTTGAAGATCTCATTGGTGAACAGACAGTTTGGTTTTGTATTCTGTTTGACAAGACAACAAACTCAAGAAATGTGTATCTAGCTAAAGAGCAAAGACCAGTCACTCACACACACATGAAAACTACTGTTAAGGACAGTTTATTTAAAAAAATAAAAATAAGGCATGTAACTCACTTTTCCTGATATTCTGGGACTCATGAGGAAAGTCATGATCCTGTCGATGAGGACTGACTGGTTTCCACCCTTCTCCAGGTCTAACACTTTGCAGATGGTTCTCAATCTTACGCATGTTATCCTGAATCACAGCACACATAAATACTAGTCATTAGTTCGCTTGTGTATTGTGCAATAATAATGGAGCATGTTTGATCCACAATCACAATATTTCATATGTTTAAACAGGTTACTTCATTAAACCTGTTAGATGCAGTTTATCATAGCGCACTGCGCTTTATTACAGGCGACAATTTTAGTACTCATCACTCCATTCTCTACCAGAAAGTTGGTTGGCCCTCTGATGTCACATAGGTTGATACATTGCTGTTTTAATTTATAAAGCCCTTTTACAAAAAGTCCCACTTTGCCCAACATCATTCCTAAACTTTAGACACAAGTTACCTGACCCGGTCTCAGGGACGGTTAACTCTGGAAATTCCTTTGGTCTCTACTGAGTTGGGTAAATCAGCTTTTCCACCTTATTAGTGGAACAATCTTCAAAATGTTCTTAAATTGGATGTGTTGGTGCCTCTAGGGCAATTCAGAAAGCTGATTGAGGACCTTATTACGGATTAATGTGTTTGTTTTTTATGACCGTGTTTTTCTTTCTGCTTGCATTTTGCATTTATATTTTGATGTGTGTATTTTCTGTAATTTATGTAATTCATGGCTCATCTGTAAAAGAGACCTTGGTCTCAGTATGACTCCCTGATAAAATAAAGGTACAAAATATATATATACACACACATTCCTACTGTTGTTTCACAAGTCCTAACTGAGCAACCCTTTTTCCTTCTTACTTCATCATCCTCTCCTTCTTCTTTATATAGGGATCACTGTCAACCTCGAACAGGAAGCCATTGAACAGCCGCATGTTTTTCCTCATTGTGGCAATCTGAGGAGAGAACCATCAACAATGACACAACCGACTAAGAACAGCAACTCTAGAGTTGTTCTACCCACACAGGGGTGTCCATTGTGACAGAACTCTTTCCCTTTTAAAAAGTGTAAGATACACTTACCTTACCTGGCATATCAAAGAGAATTGTATGAAGGGGTTTCAGATCTGGAACCTTCAGCTTTCCGAGGTGGTGGTTCACTCGCGCAATGTCTCCCAATTTATCTCCGCCACCTGAGAGGGAGTGAAAATTAGGGTTGTACTGTTAAATGCTGAGCTGACTACAGAGGGCAAAGTGGTGGTGGGAGCATGATATGAGATCCCAGCAGGGCTGATAGATGATACAGTTGCATCCCAATACATAGACTACGAGACTGATGAGAACTTGTTTACAGGCTTCATTCTGTCTCATGTCAACAAAACTTTGGAAAAGTTATCTGTGCTCATCTATAGCCTTTGGTGATAAAGAGACATGTCAGAGGATACTCCATCTTACCATTTTCAACTTTCAGCACCTTGGCAGGTTTCGCAACTTGGAAATCAAGTCTTTGCACCGTCTTTTTCTCCCTCTTCCCTTCAACTATTTGAGATACAGCTGCAAGAAGAACAGAACAGGTCAAATAGAATTCAGTGCTGCTGGCTTCGTCAACTGTAGCAAACCAGGTCTCTGCGCATGCAATAACTAACAAGTTGGACCCATGCAAAGCTGAGGAAGGTAAAGGAGGGATGATAACTAGCTAGATACCTGTCCTGAACTATAAATTAACATAATGTGGCCTATATTGAGCAAAACGAGTTCATAAACATCATTGACTTATCATACTTATGTCTCTACTCATTTCATTCCGTGGTTTTCGGGCCTTATCTGGTGAGTCGGCCAGGTCTTCAACCTTTGGTTCTTTCTCTCCCTCCTCTAACAGGGGACAAACCTCCATCTTTTCATCCATTGTTTCAGTCATGTCAGTGCACTTTGTAACATCTGCTGACATACCCTGTTTTGGGAAGAAAGTAGTTCCACCATCAGTTTAGCCAGATATCCCGGGAGAAGCACCCAACTATAGTCCCTCCTTTTTATGTGAACAATATTGACTAAAACATTAAACTAACTTTAACTAGTCAACAACTTTCCCTCGGACTTGAAAATGTCATGTCTGAGAACATTATTAGCTAGCTAGTTTTTGTTCTATGACTGTTTGTGATTGCTAACCCCTTGAAAAATCGAATGAAATTAGCTATCTAGTATTGGGGATTTATTATTCTCCTAAATTGATGGGATGACTAACTTAGAAAGAATGCAGTCTTGACTGGGCTAATGTAGGCTGTGACACCTGGCAAGGCTGTGATTGATGTGAAGCATCATATTTACCATTGAAGGTTTTTGCATTAATTAAAATAACTAGTATACCTTAGAAGTCGTGTTGACCTCTTTTGTTCCTGATACCAGATTTGAATTAACGCGACTTTGACACTAGCTAGTTAAAATTACAATCAATCACAATTTACCCACCACCAGATAGTTGTCATTATTAGTATACATAGCTAGCCAGCTACAACAGTACATTCAATCTTGTGGAGTTTAACTTTTTAAAGTGTGGCGCCCGGAGACATGATTTGGCGCGCAGGTTTGTTTTGAACACAACAGAGAGCTAACGTTAGCTAACCAGCCAACTACGTACAGTACCCATTTCTCAAAGTTTACCACCACACAGACTGAAAACTAGCTATCTCGATATTTGCTAATCTGTTGAATTGACAATGATGTTGTTTGGTAGAAACCTATCAACGGGATAGTTAGCTAAGTTAGTAAATAAATTCCCGCTGATGCTGCCTGACTTCGCTAGCTAGCTACCGTTAGCTCAGTCTTCTTGTCAGCGTAACAGTGAGCCAGCCAGTCAGGCAGTTCTATTTTAGCTACAGAATGCATCTAAATGCGGATTATTTGTTTAAATTACAATGACACTTAATATGACCATTCTGGCTCATTCGAAATCTATAGCTAGCTATTACAGTATGCCAATATATTCAATACTTTACCTTGTTTTCAAGGATTAGGTTCCAAATGGCGGGGTTGTTGCAGTGTGGGCGTCACTGGCCAATAATTTAGATGACGTACCACACAACGTTAGAAATGAGTCAATCATGGATGACTAAACTAAACCACACAATATTAGAAATGAGCCAATTAGGACTAATCTAACAGCCAACGTCCTTATTTCACTGGTTTTATTGGTCGATTGGATAATACACTCAATGACGGGATTCGATTACCCGAGTTACCCCGTGATTTACCCCGGTGGGAGGAGTTTGCAGCAGGTGAAAAGTGATTGCATTCGTTTTGGAACTGGGTTGACTCCCGGGCGTCAGCCAGGTGACCCGTTCAAAATCCGCAGTGAAGTAGGCTCAAAATGCGTATTCAAAACGACTGGTTACTCGGGGAAAAAACACGCTCCAACTGGGAAAAATCGATTTGCATGGCCATCCAACTCCGAATTCAAACTCTTTCTAGAGCTCCGACTTTCCGACCTGAATATCACTGACGTCATAATTTGACCTTGTATTTTTCCGAGTTCCCAGTAGTTTTGAACCAGGCATAAACACTTGGAGTAATGAGTGTCATTGTGTTTTTTATAGGGCTGTCAAAAATAGCGCGTTAACGACGTTAATTAGTTGTTTGCTGTTAATTACGTCAATTTTTTTAACGCATTTCACGCATGCGCAGTGTGACAAATTATTCAGGTCAGGAAAGTGGTTGGGAGCTAGAGGCGAGATGGAGCAAGGTGAGCAAAGTGGGCCTATTGACGGATTCAAATATAAAAAGAATGATGATGGTACAGTTAACAAGTACAAGGTTATTTGCAAGATTTGTAAGAAGGAGTTTCAATTTCACCGGAGCTGTTCAAGCTTGAAGTACCATGTCAACGCCAAACATGCGTTTGCTGGACCGTCAGATTCAGCAAGTGGTTTGCGCCAGACCACGCTGAATGTTTGCAGGCAATTAACAAAATCAACCTCAGATAATTTGACCAACACAATAGCAAAATGGATTGCAAAGGATTGTAGACCCATTAGCATTGTAGAAGACTCAGGTTTCCTTGATGTTTTGCAAGTGGCGTCTCAAGACTCATTCTATAAGCCACCGTCAAGAGCCACAGTTATGAAGAAAATCCACGAGCTCTATGAAAACGAAAAAGGAAAGAGGTCTTGGCTCAAGTAAATCATATCGCCCTGACAGGAGACCATTGGACATCAGTGAGTAACAACAATTACCTCGGAGTAACTGCACATTTAATCAGTGACACGTGGGAACTGAAGTCTTTTTTTAATTACATTTTTTTTACATGCAAAAGTGATTGCTTTTGATAAAAACACTTTATCTGCCTTGCCAATGAAAAGTAGTTTGAAAATTCGAAAATAGATTTTATGGAAAATAGATATGTTTATGTTTCTGGACGAGGATGCCTTCTTGACAACATGACCAAGTGGCGCAGATTACTGTTCGAGTTGAGATCGCGCTCCTCCCTCACGGTTTTTGCCCGTTCGCGTCACGGGCCATTGACCGGTGCAACGCGGCTCAGGTTAATAGAACTCCCTCAAGAGTTAACATTTTGGCATGTCAATTCATCAGTTAACTACACTCTACAGTACTTTGAGCTGCCACCATCTTTACCTTGTTGCGCAGGAAAACAGCGGGGGCCAGGGCAAGGGACTCACCTGGTAAAGGTAGGCCTAAAACTTGATAATAATAATATGCCATTTAGCAGACGCTTTTATCCAAAGCGACTTACAGTCATGCGTGCATACATTTTTTTTTGTGTATGGGTGGTCCCGGGGATCGAACCCACTACCTTGGCGTTACAAGCGCCGTGCTCTACCAGCTGAGCTACATGACACGATTGCTGCATTTGGGCTATTTCACAATATTAGTGCTAAAATAGTCAGTGACTATTTTAGGCTGGGTTGCTTTCTGGGGTTTAAAATATAGGTTTATTTGACTGGAAATAAAATAGTTTACCTTTAATTTTTTTCTGCATCTTTGATGCATGGTACACTCTTTATGGTTAGCAAAAAGAAGGTGCCATAACCACATGGTACCATCAAATTAAATCTCTGACCAGGAGTAAAAAGACAATCTCCCTCAAAGTTGACAGGCTCGACCCAGACAACACTATAAATGCCAAGTTTTCATCTGTCACCACCACTAAACCTGTCAGACCTACCTGCATTTTTGCCAGCTATGCCACTCCCTACTGCTGAACCATGGGAAATGCACAGAAGATTACTCTCCACCAAGCATTGACCAGCTACGGCCTGTCTCGCTCACGCCCCTTCTGGCAAAGGTGTGTGACGGTTTTGTTGCTGAATGAGCTACACAGGATATCCAAAATAACATCTCCAAACAACAGTTTGGCTGCCTCAAGGGACGCTTAACCACCCAGTGCCTTGTAAGCATGGCAGACCAGCTGTACAGAACAGCAGACACCAGAGGCACCTCCAGCACATGGGTCCTGACAGACTACAGCAAGGCCTTTGATCTTGTGGATCACACCATTGCAATGAAGCACCTTTTGCAATTATCTGTCCGACCAGAGATCATGCCATGGATTTGAAACTTCCATTCCGGCCATAGCCAGGTGACAAGATCCCATGAGACTATCCCAGGCCCAGTAATTCTCCTGTGGCCTCCCCTAGGGCACATGGCTTGGTCCAATTGTATTCGTGGCTCACGTCAATGGCGCATCAGAGGGTACCCTATCCAACTCCTGGGCCTTTGCGGATGACCTGAACCTCAAATAATCAAGACACATATGTGACACTTCCACCATACAGCAGGACCTCTACCAACTAGCTAACTGGTCAGAACAAAACAAGATGAATCTCAACCCAACAAAGTGCAACGTCATGTACACCTGTTTCAGCCACAATCCTGACTCACCCTCCGCCATAATCCATCTCCGGCCACACACTTGAGGTGGTGTCCAGCGCCAAAGCGCTCAGTGTGACATTCCAAGCCAACCTAAAATGGGACACACATCTCCGACATTACCACCAAAGGGAACCGAAGGCTCTTCATGATGAACCATCTTCGCCACTTCGACCTTCACCCTGAAGACCTGACAGTCTACACCTGCTTTGTCCGTCTAGTTTGCGAGTACGCCACTCCAGTATGGCAAAGGATCTGCAGAGGTGGGTGCCAACGACATGCAACCAAAAGCATCATGGGCACCACCTACACCTTCTGCATGCAATGACCTGGGCTTGCAGTCCTTGGAGTTCCGTCGCACCCACCTCTGCAGATCCTTTGCCCAGAAGCGTGCAAAATTCCAGGATTACAAAAAATGGCTGCCTCAGACGAGAGGCCATGTCAGTGGCAGATCTACCCGACCCAGTCACAAACTGAACCTTCCCCCTACTCAGACTCAGATACTACAACAGCTCTATACCTTACTTTGTGAAACTGCTTAATGCTGCTTAACTGTAATATTGTATACTACATCTCATATTTTTTATTTTATTGTATTTACATAGGCCTATGTATGCTGCAATTCAGCTTTTAGCTGATAATGTGACAATTCAAAATAAACCTTTAAATATAATATATAACCAACATTATTATTTGGATGTCCCTTTAGGATAACTTTTTTGGTTCCTATACCTTTTGTCGTAGTAAATATAAACTGTTATAGATTGATCTGAATATGTTGTGTAAGATGTTGTGCAAGACCTATTAGGGTCAGGAGCTTGTTTTCAATAAATGCTGTTCCTATGCAAGAACAATGGACAGAGGACCATATCTTGTCACCAGGTGGCCAAGGACAACACCCACGCCACAGGCCACAATCACTTGTTGCTCCCCACGAGTTTCCCTTGAGACACACACACCACACACACACACACACACACACACACACACACATCTCACTGTGGACGCACACTCATTCTCAACTCCCCTGTCTACTGGTCGGGTGCCAAGGGCAGAGGACTCTGCCGTGCACCAATGGGGCATCTGCTCTGGACAGAGCAGACCCGCCTCGGAACCAATCAAGGGACTAGAAGAAAGACCCCTTCCTTTTTTCTACCTGGAACCAACCTTTACCTGGAAGCAAAAAGGGTTCTCCTAAAGGGATACTATTAGTCAAAGAACCCTTTATAGTTCTAGGTAGGTAGCCCCTATTTTCTAAGAGCGGTAGGCTTTCTTGGATTTATTTTCCAATGTCTTCCATGCAGGACCCCAGTTGAGAAGAGAATGGTCGCATTCGGACAGGTACTCCCAGTAGTTGGTGAGTTTGGAGCATTTCAAAAACGCCTGTTGGTGGCAATATCGATACCCAACATATTCATGGCCTTTCACATGTTCAGCGAAGTTTTCACAGGTATGAATTTCCCTCACCACTGCAACACCGACTGGATACTCGCCCGTGGACCTGAATTGACCTATGACCAACAGAAAAACCTCACACTTCCAATGAATGATGTCGGGGAATATGAGAGCTGTCGTATGTTCACACCGGTGGACATATATTGTACAGATGGGTGGGTTTATGACACACCCCAAGGAAACCCCACTCTGGTGACAGAGGTAGGGATGAAAGCAGTCATTGCATTACCCCAGCCTAACTCCTATTTAACTCTATGCACTACTTGGTGAGAAGTTCAGTTTTGTGCAGATAGCCCAAGGTAGTTTGGTTCTGTTTACGCTATTTGATTTGGCAGCTTGACAATAGTTTTCATAATGTCACTCATTTTCTCCTAAAAGCTTCATCAATCACTATGTTCTGCGTTTTAAATCCTGTGTCCCTTGAATGCAATTGTTGTATATCAGAGTTGGCACCTTAGTTATGCAAGTATGGTCTTGCCTTGTTCATGAAGTCAATGCTTAGGTCTTGTTTTGAACCTTATTCACATTTATATCCACGGATATCTGCTAAATTGTGAGATTAGGCATGTATGGCGCTTTTATTATGAAAAGAAGCAATCCATTTCCTGATTCTCAAAGGCAACTAAATTCTCTCCTCTTTCCCTTCCTCCTCATCAGTTTAACCTGGTGTTTGACAACAAAGCTGTGAGTGAGGCATCACAGTCCATCTACATGGCCGGCCTCCTAATAGGGTCCCTGGTGTTTGGTCCTATGGCAGACAGGTAAAACACACACACACAACCCACTTTTAAATTGTCAAGAGTTTAGTGAGGAGGTCACCCCAAAAATTTGAAATACCCCCGCAGGTTTGGTCGTCGCTTCGCCATCCTCGTTTCCCTGCTCTTCCAGTTGCTGTTCGGCGTGGCCGCTGCCTTCTCCCCCAACATCTATGTCTACATCGCCCTTCGGTTTGTGGTCGGCATGACAATATCAGGCATTGCCATGAACACATTTGTGCTAGGTGGGGCAATACTCCCAGGTTGTCTCAAGAGTTGTCTCTTACCACAGAAGCACCAATCTCTAATCTCAATTAGCCAAAATATAACACCTTGTACTGTCTACAATCATCAAACAGTGTGTTTGACTATTGAGCGTGCTGACAGCCCCAAACTGTGTGATAGTTATTTTCCTATTTTTGAAGGGGCTGAGTGGACCAGTACATCTAAGCGGGCCCTCTTCACCATCCTCTCACAATGTTGCTATGCCGTGGGGCTGATGCTGCTGCCGGGGATCGCCTATGGGGTCCACAACTGGAGGGCCCTGCAGCTGGTGCTCTCCAGCCCCGTCCTCCTACTGGCTGTCTACTTCCGGTGAGCCTGACCTTCATACCTTATGGTGGCTTGTGCATGGGCAGTGGGTGAAGGGAAGGAACAATTAAATTGCCACCAGATATTGACGTAAGGTCAGATTTTTTGATTTATTTCTATGAGTTTGTGTCTTCTCATCATAGGCTTATTTATGTATTGTGTAGTTACCTCTTTGGAAGTGATATGTGGATGACCACACACGTTTTTGATTTGTAGACCAATATTGTGTGTGTGTGTGTGTGTGTACGTACGTGCTAGGATTCTCCCAGAGTCAGCCCGTTGGCTACTTACTCAAGGCAGGCAGATGGAGGCCAGGCAGGAGCTCCAAAGGGCAGCTGCGGTCAACAGGAGAGAGGTCCCCCAGTCACTACTCGACATGGAATAAATTCACTTTGGAGATACATAATGCAAGCATGTAAAAAACAAAACAATGAAGTTGCATTTGTGGTATATATTATTTAGTTGCATCTTCTTCTAGCTGGAGGCTGAGAACACGTCTACAACGGGCAGTATGATGGACCTCTTCAAGATACCCAACCTGAGGAAACGTGCTCTCACCATGAACTACATCTGGTTAGTATGACCAACGACTTTGTATTTAACTAACTTAACATCTGTTATGATCAATATTCAAAATACTGTTTAAATGCATTAATTCACAACCATTCCAGGTCATTTTATTGAAATGTATCAAGAGTTTACTGTATTGACATGTAGTGCATTCCTTCATGCCCCATCTTGTTTTTACAAGCAGTTTTTCCCCCCTCTCCCTTGGGGCAGGTTTGTGACCAGCCTGGTCTACTTTGGCGTGAGTCTTAACGTGGGCCATTTAGGCCTGGACATCTACCTGACCCAGTTCATCTTTGGCCTGGCAGAGATGCTTGCTCGCCTGGGCTGCTACACCCTCCTGGAGAGCCTAGGCAGGAGGCCCTGTCAGGCAGGCGCTCTCTTCTTTGGCGGAGCAGCTTGTCTCCTAATTCTTGCTATTCCGGAAGGTGACTACCGAAGCCTTTTGCCAGTTATGCAAATGATCAAACACCTACCCTATCTGGGTTTATAGTGTGTAGTATTCAAATTTTTTATCTTTGTCGAATTTCCCTGAACTTGGTGTAGTTGGCGTTATATTCTGAAACATACCTGTTGGTGGTACTTGTTTGTCTTATTTTGACCCTTAGACCTTCCAGTATTGGTGACAGTCATTGCAGTGACTGGAAAGTTTGCTATAGCAGTCTCCTTCACTATTGTCTATGTATATACTGCTGAGCTCTATCCCACCGTTGTAAGGTTAGTTAAATTCCCAATGTATACTGTTTATTACAGCAGAATAATATCCTAATTCTTCATACTGTGTATACATGTCAAGTTTTCTCCTCATCCGCTTTTGGATACATTTATTGCAACGTCCTTCTTTATGTCATCCTTGCAGACAGAACGGTGTGGGTCTGAACTCCATGTGTGCCCGTGGGGCGGGGATCCTGGCTCCTCTGATGCGTCTGCTGGAGGTTTACCACCAGGCCCTGCCCATGCTCATCTGTGGCATTCTTCCCTTCATTGGCGGGGGGCTGTGCTTTCTACTGCCGGAGACCCTCAACACTGAGCTCCAGGACTACACAGACCCACTCGTGGAGAAGACCATGTGGGTAACCCCTCAGTTTTAGCAAGCGCCATACTTACTGATTTTTACTTGTTGATCTTAGAACATCTGAGAGCGGGACTATTGAAAATGGACTAGGTGAGGAGGAGAAACCAACCGAATTGAGGAGCTCAATTCTGATCACTGTCTGGTCCATACTCTCTGGAGGTGTGAGTTAGTTAGTTATTACTCTAAAATATCCCTTATTTTTTTGTAAATGATACCACCTTTTGGGACTGATAAAATGTTTTATGAATTAATAATACAAATAATTGATGTTGTGTATAAAATAAAACGGACCTGTCACAATATTAATCTTGGTGATACCTCTCATGAACAGCAGATGGTGCCAAGTAACTTAGCAATGGGAGAAATGGTACAGATATTACAGTGCCTCTGGAAACTGCCCCCAAATTGCATAGATAAATGTTAGTGGGACTGCAGGTACAGTCTTCACAAGGTTTTCACACACTGTTGCTGGTATTTTGGCCCATTCCTCCATGCAGATCTCCTCTAGAGCAGTGATGTTTTGGGGCTGTCGCTGGGCAACACGGACTTTCAACTCCCTCCAAAGATTTTCTATGGGGTTGAGATCTGGATACTGGCTAGGCCACTCCAGGACCTTGAAATGCTTATTACGAAGCCACTCCTTCGTTGCCCGGGCGGTGTGTTTGGGATCATTGTCATGCTGAAAGACCCAGCCACATTTCATCTTCAATGCCCTTGCTGATGGAAGGAGGTTTTCACTCAAAATCTCACGATACATGGCCCCATTCATTCTTTCCTTTACACGGATCAGTCGTCCTGGTCCCTTTGCAGAAAAACAGCCCCAAAGCATGATGTTTCCACCCCCATGCTTCACAGTAGGTATGGTGTTCTTTGGATGCAACTAAGCATTCTTTGTCCTCCAAACACGACGAGTTGAGTTTTTAACAAAAAGTTCTATTTTGGTTTCATCTGACCATATGACATTCTCCCAATCCTCTTCTGGATCATCCAAATGCACTCTAGCAAACTTCAGACGGGCCTGGACATGTACTGGCTTAAGCAGGGGGACACGTCTGGCACTGCAGGATTTGAGTCCCTGGCGGCGTAGTGTGTTGCTGATGGTAGGCTTTGTTACTTTGGTCCCAACTCTCTGCAGGTCATTCACTAGGTCCCCCCGTGTGGTTCTGGGATTTTTGCTCACCGTTCTTGTGATCATTTTGACCCCACGGGGTGAGATCTTGCGTGGAGCCCCAGATCGAGGGAGATTATCAGTGGTCTTGTAATAATAATAATAATAATAATAATAATAATAATAATAATAATATGCCATTTAGCAGACGCTTTTATCCAAAGCGACTTACAATCATGTGTGCATACATTTTTACGTATGGGTGGTCCCGGGGATCGAACCCACTACCCTGGCGTTACAAGCGCCATGCTCTACCAATTGAGCTACAGAGGACCACGTATGTCTTCCATTTCCTAATAATTGCTCCCACAGTTGATTTCTTCAAACCAAGCTGCTTACCTATTGCAGATTCAGTCTTCCCAGCCTGGTGCAGGTCTACAATTTTGTTTCTGGTGTCCTTTGACAGCTCTTTGGTCTTGGCCATAGTGGAGTTTGGAGTGTGACTGTTTGAGGTTGTGGACAGGTGTCTTTTTATACTGATAACAAGTTCAAACAGGTGCCATTAATACAGGTAACGAGTGGAGGACAGAGGAGCCTCTTAAAGAAGAAGTTACAGGTCTGTGAGAGCCAGAAATCTTGCTTGTTTGTAGGTGACCAAATACTTATTTTCCACCATAATTTGCAAATAAATTCATTAAAAATCCTACAATGTGATTTTCTGGAATTTTTTTCCTCAATTTGTCTGTCATGGTTGACGTGTACCTATGATGAAAATGACAGGCCTCTCTCATCTTTTTAAGTGGGAGAACTTGCACAATTGGTGGCTGACTAAATGCTTTTTTCCCCCACTGTAAATAAAAAGTCTCAATAGAACAATAGTATACTATTGATATATTAACTCTGTAGCCATATGAAAGTGTAATTTGTTGTAGACACTGAACAGATAAACCTGGATCCTGATGTCCTGCATGTCACATAGGACCAATGGTATCCTATTTTATACATATTCTTTCCATGCACATTGGTGAACAATGTGAAAAACGCCACCAATAGATGGACAGTAATTGCATGTCTGGAGAGCTGTGGAGGTGCAGTCACAGCAGACAAAGCCTGTCACAACACTTCCATAATTGCCAATAGAAAGTGAAGAAAAGAACTGAGGGCTCTCTGGGGTCAACGGAAGGTGAACTGTGACAAGTCAAAATGGGAATTCAGGAACCTACTTTTCAAAATAGTGTCCTGGATCTGTACAAATAGATGTGGATATTTTAAGCACCAACATCCTACAAAAATTTACTTTGACATTTCCCCCCTGCCTTGGCTTCCTCTCATAGAACAAGGAAGGGAAATAAATCTCATTACAGAACTGAAATTGCAGGTAAAAATTAAATTGAGGACCCCTGGCTCTGTATGATTCAAAGCATATGATTGGGGGACTTTTGCAAATGCAAATGACCTGAGAACATTCAATGGTGCATGGAGATGTGCCCTTTTTTACTCATGAGCAGCTTTATCAGAGACATGTTTGAATGGACAAAAATATGTGTTGCAGTTAGAAAACCTTTGAGATGGGCCACATTTTCTGATGGAAGAATTTTGTGAAATTGTCTAAAATGCCATCTCTCTGGAAATATCAATCTGCATAACATATCATTGATGATAGGCCAGCGTTCAAAACTCTCATGAAATATTTATTTTCATGGTTTCTAATATGAATAGGCTACATTTTATTTTTAAAGACCCATAAGACATTTATATGCGGTATATTCAGAAAAGCAGAATTCGCTCCTAGCACCACTCCTTGCGTGTGTTCGTTGCTACTCAACATTTTGAAACAGCACCACGAGCCAAGAGGGTTAGTACTATCCGGAATCCTTGGGAGGTCCATACCCTTAACCCTAACCATAACATTAACCCCTACCCTTAACCATAACCCTTACCTAACCCTTAACCATTTATTATTTCAACTTCAATGGGGGGTAGGGACGTCCAAAGGATCCCGGATACAAGAACCGAGCCAAGAGGGTCTAGTGCGCGGTGCGCATCTGCGGTCTTAGAGCTGTTAGAAACGCACGGAGTTTTTTCATGTTTTCTTCGAATAACTGGCGCTCTTTTTCACTTATGCTCGCAAGAAGATAAGAATCATGACCAACACTAGTGTCAAAACACATAACTGGTTGTTTTACGCAGAGTATAAAAAGGAACTTGGCTGACGGAAAACCCAATTATCCCCTTTTATCAAGATGACAACTCTCGATATATAGACAGGTAAGACCAATCTTCTCCCCTAGTTATGTTAAGTCGGCTATTCTATTAGTTGGGCTAGTTTCGTGGCTACTACTGTAGTTTGGTGGTCCCCTTGGTACAGTACAGCCTAATCTTTCAGAAATAGTCCATTCCAGTAACCTACTATCTCGGACAACAAATAACTATTTAATACAAAACATATTAATACTTTAATTCAATGTAATACATTATTGACAGCAACTTGTATATTGCATATTTATTAATGATTCATATAATAACCAGAACATCTGCAGCTATTTTTCATTCGAAACACTCATGTGTTGCTCTGTTATTACATAAGCCAAACTGTTCACCCCCCTTACAAAATGTAGGTAGTTGTTATTTTATTTGGGAGTGAAATTAAAACCATTAATACATTTCGTTATAGTATTGTTATGTAGTTAGTGTGTAATAGGATGCCATTTTACAATGTTATTGTCTTGACGCCCCCATTTATCCTGCTTTTTCTGTCATGTATGCTCATCAAATATATGCCAAATTCTTCTGCAATGACCACATATTCATTAATGTGATTTCTTGGATGAAAATCCAATTTACTCATGATTCTACAGTTTTATTTTAATTTCTCATTATATGCATTTGCTCACACAGCCATGTAGAGACATTAGAAACATGTAGAGTAAACATAATCACTATCTCCATACCCAGTAACTTGTGTGGTAGGACCATTACGTTTTTGATTTAAATAGCAATTTACATTTTGCCCCTTTTGGATTTGTTATAATATCAATTGGTATAGGCAGTATTCTCTTCCTCCTCTCACTTAAAATGGAGGAAAATCATCATCCTTCACTATATGGTAGTTCCTTTCAATCATGACAGGTGAGCAATCATGACAGGTGAGCATATTCTACAGTATCTGCTCTGATATCCATTTTTCAGGATTCATCTTTTAAATATGTGTGACTTAAAATGACCACTATGACGTTGTTAGATAGCAGATAGTCTTACCAAAGGGAATTAATGATTACAGGAATAGGAACATTAGTTATATTAATTAGGTAGGCCAGCTAAAATATTTAAATCTCCACAAAGAACTTTGAAGAAGTAGGACACGGCTAGAGGCTCTTTCCCTGTCTTCATTCCCTGTCTTCCCCCTCTCTTTCTCTCTCTCTCCCCCTTTCACTCATCTGATGTCAGACACCCTCTGCTCTTGGTAGGAGCCGCCAAAGAAATGTGGATTCCTTCAGGAGCAGAGGGAGTTTAACTGAGGATTAGAGATAACTAATGGCTGCTTCTAGCCAAGTTGTACATTGTATTCCCTTGCCACATGGCTAATAGGCTACACATGGGATAGATCAAGCAGGGACAGAGTAGAGAATTCCTCTTGGAATGATTATGAAGATTCTGACTGACATGTTAACTATTCTCTATGTGGTCTTAATTGGCTTCGTGCCAGTCACTATTTTGAACCTAAACAAATGTTGACCTCAGTGTTTTACCCTTTCCTTGACACCCAACTGCACTCCTGGTCCCCTTCAGGTTTTCCCCTCCACCCCAGGCAGGCCTGTGCCCGCCATGATGAGCAGCTCATCCAGCCCAGCTGAGTTCTACGGGGACAGCACCTCCCTCCTGTCCATAGACTCCAGCGTCTTCTACAGCGAGCCCCCTCCTGTCTGTGACGGCCCACTGGACTTCTTCACCATCAACGTGGGTGGCAGCCGCTACGTTCTCTCCCAGGAGCTGCTGGCATCCCACCCAGAAACCCGGCTGGGCAAGCTGGCCCTGTCCACACGGGACTCTGCCCTGGAGCTCTGCGACGACGCTGACTTCCTGGAGAACGAGTTCTTCTTCGACCGCAGCTCACAGACCTTCCAGTATGTGATAAACTTCTACCGCACAGGCCACCTGCATGTCAGGGAGGAGCTGTGCGTGCTCTCCTTCCTTCAGGAGATTGAGTACTGGGGCATCGATGAGCTCCGCATCAATCCCTGCTGCCGTGACCGCTACTACCGCCGCAAGGAGCTCAAGAAGAGCCTGGATGTACGGAACGAGGCTGAGGCCGACGAAAGCGAGGACGAAGAGTTCAACGGCGCTGCGTGCCCGGATCTCCGGCGGTGCCTGTGGGACCTGCTGGAGAAGCCAGAGTCTTCACGAGCGGCACGCACCTTTGGCACGCTGTCCATCATCTTCGTGGCGGTGTCCATTGTCAACATTGTGCTCATCTCGCTGGACCTGGGGGATGTGGGAGGGAACGGGATCGGTGACGAGAGCGGGGGCGATGATGGGGGTACACCTTTCTTCGTGGACGCACTGGAATATGTGTGCGTGGTGTGGTTCACCGGCGAGCTGGTGCTGCGCTTCGCCTGCGTGCGCGACAAGTGCCGCTTCACCCGTAGCGTTCCCAATGTGATCGACCTGCTAGCCATCCTACCCTTCTACGTGACGCTGGCAGTGGAGAGTCTGCATGGTGGCTCCACAGAGCTGGAGAACATGGGCCGCGTGGTGCAGGTGCTCAGGCTCATGAGGTCCCTCCGCATGCTCAAACTGGGACGCCACTCCACAGGTAATGTAGTCGTCTATCCATACATACAGTATAAGCAGCCATTTTAATCCTGTCATGATTCCTAAACCTGATGCTTCTACCCATCAGTTGTCATGCCAAGCTGCAGTAGTCCAGGATGTCAGATTGTCCAGGATCTCAAAGTTGATTTTGAAGGTAGCAATCCAGTCGAGATACATCATTATTTTCAAATGATACAGTGAGGGAAAAAATTATTTGATCCCCTGCTAATTTTGTACGTTTGCCCACTGACAAAGAAATGATCAGTCTATAATTTTAATGGTAGGTTTATTTGAACAGTGATAGACAGAATAACAACAAAGAAATCTAGAAAAACACATGTCAAAAATGTTATAAATTGATTTGCATTTTAATGAGGGAAATAAGTATTTGACCCCTCTGCAAAACATGACTTAGTACTTGGTGGCAAAACCCTTGTTGGCAATCACAGAGGTCAGACGTTTCTTGTAGTTGGCCACCAGGTTTGCACACATCTCAGGAGGGATTTTGTCCCACTCCTCTTTGCAGATCTTCTCCAAGTCATTAAGGTTTCGAGGCTGATGTTTGGCAACCTTCAGCTCCCTCCACAGATTTTCTATGGGATTAAGGTCTGGAGACTGGCTAGGCCACTCCAGGACCTTAATGTGCTTCTTCTTGAGCCACTCCTTTGTTGCCTTGGCCGTGTGTTTTGGGTCATTGTCATGCTGGAATACCCATCCACGACCCATTTTCAATGCCCTGGCTGAGGGAAGGAGGTTCTCACCCAAGATTTGACGGTACATGGCCCCGTCCATCGTCCCTTTGATGTGGTGAAGTTGTCCTGTCCCCTTAGCAGAAAAAGCATAATGTTTCCACCTCCATGTTTGACGGTGGGGATGGTGTTCTTGGGGTCATAGGCAGCATTCCTCCTCCTCCAAACACGGCGAGTTGAGTTGATGCCAAAGAGCTCCATTTTGGTCTCATCTGACCACAACACCCAGTTCTCCTCTGAATCATTCAGATGTTCATTGGCAAACTTCTGACAGGCATGTATATGTGCTTTCTTGAGCAGGGGGACCTTGCGGGCACTGCAGGATTTCAGTCCTTCACGGTGTAGTGTGTTACCAATTGTTTTCTTGGTGACTATGGTCCCAGCTGCCTTGAGATCATTGACAAGATCCTCCTGTGTTTTTCTGGGCTGATTCCTCACTGTTCTCATGATCATTGCAACTCCATGAGGTGAGATCTTGCATGGAGCCCCAGGCCGAGGGAGATTGACAGTTCTTTTGCGTTTCTTCCATTTGCGAATAATCACACCAAATGTTGTCACCTTCTCACCAAGCTGCTTGGCGATGGTCTTGTAGCCCATTCCAGCCTTGTGTAGGTCTACAATCTTGTCCCTGACATCCTTGGAGAGCTCTTTGGTCTTGGCCATGGTGGAGAGTTTGGAATCTGATTGATTGATTGCTTCTGTGGACAGGTGTCTTTTATACAGGTAACAAACTGAGATTAGAAGCACTCCCTTTAAGAGTGTGCTCCTAATCTCAGCTCATTACCTGTATAAAAGACACCTGGGAGCCAGAACTCTTTCTGATTGAGAGGGGGTCAAATACTTATTTCCCTCATTAAAATGCAAATCAATTTATAATATTTTTGACATGCGTTTTTCTAGATTTTGTTGTTGTTGTTCTGTCTCTCACTGTTCAAATAAACCTACCATTAAAATTATAGACTGATCATTTCTTTGTCAGTGGGCAAACGTACAAAATCAGCAGGGGATCAAATACTTTTTTCCCTCACTGTATATCACACCTTATTTTTTCTTCCAGCAACTCATTAGGTGATTGTAGATGTGTGAGAGTAACCAGGATGTAAAAAGTACAGCAGAGAGTAACCAGGATGTAAAAAGTACAGCAGAGTAGTCGGACAAGATGTCTGGTGTTACTTGTAAAACAGTGTGTTGTTGTAGCCTGTAGGCAAAACATTCTGAAGAATCTGTTGAAACTATAAGAATAGAAAGATTCAGAACTTTTGTGGAACATCACAGCACAGTGGAAAAATATATGGCAGCTAGAAATCAAAACAGGATGGTCTTCAGAGATAGATGGGAGGGGTTGAGGTTAGCTGAAGGCTGGGACAAAAAACAAACAAAAGATAACTAATGTAAAATATACTGTTGTGAAATGTATGTAGTCTGTCTAAGCTGGAAGTATTGTTGTCCATTAGTTTACTCCAATTAGGGGAGGGGTTAGGGGAATATAATAAAGAAGGAAAATATATTTTTTTAAAGTATCTTTAAAATAATATATATATTTACAAAAATATATATATATGGGGATTGGAAATTATGCAGACAATTACATAGATAGAAGCCACAATCTATCTGCAATATTAAAGCTGATCTACCCCCTAAAAAAATATCAAGATATAATCTGAAGTTGTAATCCAATTCTTAGTTTTTCTGTGATAAAACTAGCTTCTGACCCAGGAGAGATTATACTGTGAAGTCTCTTGGAGTCTGAGAGATTTTTCAGGGTAATAGAAAGCCTGGGAGAGAACTAAATAGCAAAGGTGAGAAATGGAACCAGTTGGGCTGACAGATGGGGGCCTGACAGATGAGTCCATTTGTGTATGTCTGTGTACGTTTGCGTGCGTGCGCGTGAATGGCTTTGTTTTTGGGGAGGAGTGATCTTGCCAATAACTGTAACATTTTGTAAACAAAGATATGTTTTCTATACTGTTTGACCACTATAGAAAAAACGTTATACTTATCTCCTATTTTAATATAATATAATTATTTCCTCTGCTCCTGAAGCTCTCTGGGCACAGCACTCAGGGTGTGTTCCAATCTGATTAGATAAAGGAAAAACAGATCAAACAAAAGCAATATGAAAACCTGAAGCTCAGAGAGACCGTCAAGCTGGCATTGTCCTTGAGAGTGTATTATTATTATTATTATTATTATTATTATTATTATTATTATTATTATTATGAACCCTCCTTGTTTGTGCTCTTGGAAAGCACCCATATAATCTAATAAAGGACCCAGCTAGCACATAACGTTCTGAGAACCATATGTTTCTTAGAGCTTGGTGAGAGTGTGGTTGTCCTATGGTTATTTTGCATACAACCTTCCCACAAACTTCTGTGAATGGTGCAGGATAGTTGCTTGACTTTGTAACATTCTCAGCACTTTTATGAAACTTGACAAAAAAAAGTTATTTTATTACTTTAACAAAACATGTCCTAAAAGTTCAAACATTTCATTTACATTTTGGTAATGTTCTAGGAACGTTCTCCAACTTGTTTGAAATTGGGAATGTTCTCAAATAGTTCAGAGAACGTTAAGAAACAACATTATTCTGTGGGAATTTCAGTAGTTCAGCATAACGTTTCCTACATGTTTCTTCATGGTTCTATTTAAAGTCATGTTCTCAAATTGTTCCGAGAACGTTATGAAAACTTTCCATAAAAACCACAAGAAAACTTTAGTAACGTTCAGAGAACATTTCAAGAATGTGAATGAAAAACATATACATTCTGTTCTCAGCATCAACAAAACTCACTGTATCATCCATCTTGTTAAGTGTTCCTTTAAAAGGTTTGAATAGACTAAAATGAACTGCTTTGTGTGGGTAAAAAAAACATGGCATGCTAGCTCCCTCCTGGTGGCACAATGGACTAATTCCATGGATAGAGATCAGATGAACATAGGTATGAATCACACTGATGCCGTGCCATAATAAAAAAATACATTTGTTTGCATGATTAATGCCTAAGCAAATAAATGTCCATGTGTCCTATCTGTGGTTGGAATTCAAAACAGTTAACCCAAACTAAGCTAGCAGTGTTGTCTTATTGAAACATGTTCTCAGAACATTATTTAATTACCTTCAAATAACCTATAATTTCCATTCTCAGAACGTTAATAAAAGCTCCCAAGAAAACTTTCAGTGAACCATAGTAAAACATTCTCAGAACCTCCCTGCTACCTAAAAATGTAAGTTCCCAGAACAGGCAACATTTTCACTTCCGTTCTCAGAACGTTTATAAAACATTCAGTTTTACCGGTCAGGAAATGTATGGCTTCATTTGCAGAACCAATGGGAAACCAAAATCGTGCGTTCCCACAACTTCCAAAGAACCAAATGTACTAGCTGGGGAGTCCTTGCCTGCAAAACCAAATGGGCTCAAAGACAGACAATATGATATGAGAATGTAATATCAATATCATTTCTATTCATCTTTCAGTGGATTTATTTTCCATAGATCTCATTTTGATCCCATATAGTTTCACAATAGTGTTTCAGCACATCAAAAGAACATAAAAAGTATACTTACTTGGCAAACTTCACCCAATATATATTTTCTACTTGAGGAGTTTGGAGAGCTTACAAGCAATTTCATCGCGTGAATATTCCTACCACCTGCTCAGTTGTGTATATTTCGAGTTTTGCAGTTTTTTTAACTGCCAGCTTGCTGTTACATTTCCCCCACTAAATTCTCAGTCATGAGTTTCACACGTCATCACTTGTCGTTTTTTACATGAGCTGTTTGTGGAATATAAGTTGGATAGATGCACTACATTATCTTCAAGTTAGGCAAGTGAAAAGGTATTAAGACTGACTTACAGTGCCTTGCAAAAGTATTCATCCCCCTTGGCGTTTTTCCTATTTTGTTGCATTACAACCTGTAATTTAAATGGATTTTTATTTGGATTTCATGTAATGGACATACACAAAATAGTCCAAATTGGTGAAGTGCAATGAAAAAAATAACTTGTTTCAAAAAATTCAAAAAAATAAATAACGGAAAAGTGGTGCGTGCATATGTATTCACCCCCTTTGCTATGAAGCCCCTAAAAATGATCTGGTGCAACCAATTACCTTCAGAAGTCACATAATAAGTTAAATAAAGTCCACCTGTGTGAAATCTAAGTGTCATATTATCTCAGTGTATATATACACCTGTTCCGAAAGGCCCCAGAGTCTGCAACACCACTAAGCAAGGGGCACCACCAAGCAAGCGGCACCATGAAGACCAAGGAGCTCTCCATACAGGTCAGGGACAAAGTTGTGGAGAAGTACAGATCAGGGTTGGGTTATAAAAAAATATCTGAAACTTTGAACATCCCACGGAGCACCATTAAATCCATTATTAAGAAATTGAAAGAATATGGCACCACAACAAACCTGCCAAGAGAGGGCCACCCACCAAAACTCACAGACCAGGCAAGGAGGGCATTAATCAGAGAGGCAACAAAGAGACCAAAGATAATCCTGAAGGAGCTGCAAAGCTCCACAGCAGAGATTGGAGTATCTGTCCATAGGACCACTTTAAGCCGTACACTCCACAGAGTTGGGCTTTACGGAAGAGTGGCCAGAAAAAAGCCATTGCTTAAAGAACAAAATAAGCAAACACATTTGGTGTTCGCCAAAAGGCATGTGGGAGACTCCCCAAACATATGGAAGAAGGTACTCTGGTCAGATGAGACTAAAATTGAGCTTTCTGGCCATCAAGGAAAACGCTATGTCTGGCGCAAACTCACGGACCAGGCAAGGAGGGCATTAATCAGAGAGGCAACAGAGAGACCAAAGATAACCCTGAAGGAGCTGCAAAGCTTTTTGGCCATCAAGCAAAACGCAATGTCTGGTGCAAACCCAACACCTCTCATCACCCCGAGAACACCATCCCCACAGTGAAGCATGGTGGTGGCAGCATCATGCTGTGGGGATGTTTTTCATCGGCAGGGACTGGGAAACTGCTCAGAATTGAAGGAATGATGGATGGTGCTAAATACAGGGACATTCTTGAAGGAAACCTGTTTCAGTCTTCCAGAGATTTGAGACTGGGACGGAGGTTCCCCTTCCAGCAGGACAATGACCCTAAGCATACTGCTAAAGCAACACTCGAGTGGTTTAAGGGGAAACATGTAAATGTCTTGGAATGGCCTAGTCAAAGCCCAGACCTCAATCCAAATGAGAATCTGTGGTATGACTTAAAGATTGCTGTACACCAGCGGAACCCATCCAACTTGAAGGAGCTGGAGCAGTTTTGCCTTGAAGAATGGGCAAAGATCCCAGTGGCTAGATGTGCCAAGCTTATAGAGACATACTCCAATAGACTTGCAGCTGTAATTGCTGCAAAAGGTGGCTGTACAAAGGGGGGGGGGGGGGGGGGGGTATATCAACTGATACAAACACCCAAAAATTCCATTTCAAATTCCAGGTTGTAAGGCAACTAAATAGGAAAAATGCCAAGGGGGGTGAATACTTTCGCAAGCCACTGTAAGAGTTAATTATTAAGGTAAATTATTCTACACTTGAAAGTGTGCACCTGCCACACTCTGTAAGATTTGCATACCATCAAAGAGTGTATACTTTCAGCATTCTCTTCCAACAGATGGCGTCATTCTAACGCATCAGTGCAGACAGCCGTCAGACTATCTGACATTAGACAATGCACTTTCAGGTGTATGACCTGAATAAGTAATCTGTCATTTAATCTCCTGAACTGATGTATAATTGACCCCAGCCCTCTGTATCCCTGTGTCCCCCAGGCCTCAAATCCCTGGGTCTGACCATCACCCAGTGCTACGAGGAGGTGGGTCTCCTGCTCCTCTTCCTCTCCGTGGGCATCTCCATCTTCGCCACGGTGGAGTTCGCCCTGGAGCATGAGATCCCCGGCACCACCTTCAGAAGCGTGCCCTGTGCCTGGTGGTGGGCCACCACCTCCATGACCACGGTTGGCTACGGAGACATCTGCCCCGACACCACCCTGGGCAAAGTTCTGGCCTTTCTCTGCATCCTGTCTGGCATCCTCATCTTGGCACTGCCCATCGCTATCATCAACGACCGCTTCTCTGCCTACTACTTCACCCTCAAGATGAAGGAGGCGGCGCTGCGGCACGGGGAGGCGCTCAAGAGGCTGGCGCGGGGTTCGCTGGGTGACACGGAGGTGGGTGGGGCAGCAGGGGGAGGAGGGATGAACCTGAGGGATGCTTACGCCAGGAGTGTGATGGAGATGCTGAGGCTGCAGGGGAGGGAGAGGGCCAGCACACGGAGTAGTGGAGGGGGCGAGCTCTGGTGGTAGTGTGGAGGACGGACCACAAGGGCAGCTGTGGAGAAAAAGCTATGGAAAAGTCAAGTGGGTTAAAGATGGAATCCGCAGTAGGGGGAAACAACGCTACTGGCTGCCTCACCACTGCTGTTATTGTTTTTGTTGCTGAGCTGAGGAGCGTCGAGCAGCATGGTAAAAATAAAAATCGGTACATATTGTGCTCTTTTATCGCACGTGCAATGATGTCAGAGGGGGGAAAACAGTGCAAATGGACGTGGGTGTTTCACCATTAAGGATTCCAGCTTTAAGAAACCATCAGAATATGACAACAATGTGTACAATGTATAGGACATATCTAAAGGATGATGGGTGGACAATTACTTTTATGTCACCTGAAAGATTCGCCACAACTTTCATGGCTAACCTTTCTTCAGTGTTATGTTCTCTGACACAACTGTTGCATGTTCTGTCTCCTCTGTATGTCACATAGACAAGATGTACAGTATAGACTGAATGTTGTTATATTGTGTTTGATATTTTATAATTTCTCTCCATTGAAAGATGCAGTATAGAACAGCACAACATGATTTCATTGGAGAGCAATAAACAGATTTTCCTTCTTCTTCACCCCTGTCTCTATTTCCTGCGGGTCACAGTAAACAGTCAGGTACTTCTGCTTCCATCACCACAGGAGTTCATCAAGTAGTCTCTCTCTTTCTCTCTCTCTATCTCTCTCCCTCCCTCCCTTCAGCCTTTCTATTTGTGTCAAATGCGGAGAGATCATCCAGCTCATTTATATCCGTGATCATTTCATTTGAGATGTGGAGTTGTGCTTTGGCACAGTGGATGTACTCCTAAATGGCACTTAAAGTGTGATGTCAGGAAAATGGTGTGCCAGTGTAGGTGATTTTGTAAGTGATTTTCCTTGTTGGTGAGAGGACAGGTCGTGACTGACAACCCACAGGGCACAAACTGGTTAAATCAGCGTTGTTGCAACTTAATTTGCCAAAGTATTGTGACATAGAATCTATGTGGAAAATACATTGGATTTGAAAAAAGTAATCAATTGTTGTTTTGAGGGTAAAATGTTTGTGAAATTTCAACCACAGGATTATGTTATCATGGTAACCAATTTTCAACACACACAAACCAAATGTTGAATTTGTAACTTTGAAACAACGTCAGATCTTCAACATAATATCCACTATAAGAAAAAAACAATAGGCTGGGTAGCACCTCCTACTGGAGAGTTGAGCTATCTACAGCTATCCTTTTGGTCTCCCATCCAAGTTATTTTTTTTTTACCAAGCCCTGCTTAGCTTTGATATTTGTCACTGACTATTACCAATGTGCTATGCGAATGCTTGTTGAGAAATCTCCACTTTAATAGATTCACTGTTGCTATCAAAGTCATTCCAAAGGGTAGTTTTAACAGAGCAAATGAAATGTAACCATACTTTTTCAATCATATATCATCAGTGATGCTATTGAGGCCTATATAGCATTTGGGAAGTAATTGTTTAAACTAAAAATAGACAAATGAAGGCCTAGGGTTTCAAGCTGTGGTTGATTTCAAATGGAATTTTGATTAGTAATATAATAATATATATATTGGATTCACATCAAAATCAAAGTTAAAGAATAAGACTAAATCAAATCAAACTGTATTTAATTTGATTTAGTCCCATTCTTTAACTTCGATGTTTGGTTGAAATGGAGATGTGAATCCAACATATCAATTATGAATTTGTAGACTAAATGGAAATAATGTCAGACTCGTTGGCACAGATAAAACTATCCAAGCAGAAGATACATCTCCTTCAAATGTTGATATTTGGTTGCGTTGACAACCAAACAATATTCAATATCACTTTTGCAGTACAATAAAAACCCTATTAATTCCGCTCCAGCCATTACCACGAGCCTGTCCTCCCCAATTAAGGCGCCACCAACCTCCTGTGATTCTTATGTAATAATAGAAAGCATGCAAGTTCAAGATAGCATGTAAATGTTACAGGTCTGTGGAGATTTTCACAATTGCTATAATAATCTGTGCAAAATCTCAAACAGCTCTGACCACTTGTACCATGTATTTAAATAATCTCAATTGCAATCCAGGTCATTTGGTTGTGCTAGTAGATGAAGCACAGTGATAACACATTAAATTGTATAAATAAATAAACAAAATATCTAACCTTGTATTCCCATTTGAACATTGTTGTGCTTTTAAATGGTTGAAAGCACAGTGATAACTCATTTTGGTGACAACTAAACCAAAAATCGGACATTGATTTTCCATTGGAATTTGGTTGTGCTTTTAGAAGTTGAAAGCATTGTGATACCACATTAGGAATTCAACAAACTTTCTGAGTGGGTGAAAATAGGTTGTAATCTCATTGATCAACGTATCAACCAAATATTACCAAATTCTCCACGTTGAAATGAAGTGATGTGCCCAGTGGGAAGAGACTGTGCCATCTCCATAACACAATCCAACCTGCCCTCAGAGTATAATATTTTCTCTATGTGGCACTAAAACAAAATGTTTTTCTCACATTCCTTCCCTGCAGTCACCTATAAATACTGTAAATGATATACTGTACTTACATAGGGATTATATTTAAGCATGTAGGGAAAACCTTTCCAGACCATAGGCTTTTTAGCCTATTCCAAACCTCTCCTTCAGCTTTCTCCGAAACTGAAGAGCTTTTTCCGAACATTCTCAAGAAAGTATTATTTTTACTCCTGACAGTCACAGAAAATCATTTGGCCACTTAGATTCCCTTACATGGCTATTGGGCCCCAGAGCCAGCCCCTTATCTCTTGGACATGTAGGGGAAGCTGTCTGGGTGACTAACTCCCATGTAGGAGTCCCTGATATCATGGCCAACCTGCACAGATGTCAATGCATCATGGGCCTGTCAACATATGAGGACAGTCTAAATATTATGCCTGAGACATTGGGCATACAGTACTGAAGTAGTGATGAATGTTTTCATTAAATGGAACAGAATGGATTGCATGCATATTGTAAAACTACATGGTATGGCAGCCATTTTGAGATAAGATGTAGAAGAAAATTGATGCACAGTGAACCCTTTCCCAAATATTTCTGGCCAAACACACACACAAACAAAATAGCAGTAGTTCTCACTTTGCAGAGCAAATGTTTTGTATTTGAATTGTGATACATTGTTTTATCACAAGGGACCTCTGGCCTACGTATTTGTCTAGACCAGTGGTTCCCAACCTTATTTTTAACCTTAGCACACCTTGATGGGATATCAAATTCTGTGGCACACCTAAAATCTCCCTATTAATTTAGTGGTAATGACCTCCATCTCATCTGAGCCATACTGCAAATCATCTATTTTCTGTGACATTTTTTTGTAAATATAGGTTAAATTGTGTTTATTTGAAATATTTTCATAGTTTTGATAGTTCCTTTCTCATGATGGTTAATTTATGTGTTCCCCTTTATGAGTATCCGCTAATCTGAAATACTGTAGGTCTTTAGTTTTGAACGGTTTGGGCTACAGACGAGCGGTTTTCTGCATTGCAAATGTGCAACCACGGACACAAAGCCATGCTCCATTTGTTTTTATGGCAGACGCTGTGGTATAGCCAAGCACAGAGCTATAATAAATAAATGCCTCTGGCTAAGCCTAATCAGACTTGACTGTTCTAACGTTTTTCACAGATGAAGCAAAATTATACAACTGACTTTGGTTGTGATGCGCACCCCTTCCAATTATACAAATGTAACAACAGCCTGAGAAACAAGTTGGGATACAGATCCCATTTCATGTATTATCCAATCAAATCAAATCAAATTTTATTGGCCACATGCGCCGAATACAACAGGTGGAGACATTACAGTGAAATGCTTACTTACAGCCCTTAACCAACAGTGCATTTATTTTTTATAAAAAAGTAGAATAAAACAACAAAAAAGTGTTGAGAAAAAAAGTAAAATAAAATAACAGTAGGGAGGCTATATATACAGGGGGGTACCGGTGCAGAGTCAATGTGCGGGGGCACCAGCTAGTTGAGGTAGTTGAAGTAATATGTACATGTGGGTAGAGTTAAAGTGACTATGCATAAATAATTAACAGAGTAGCAGCAGCGTAAAAAGATGGGGTGGGGGGGCAGTGCAAATAGTCTGGGTAGCCATGATAAGCTGTTCAGGAGTCTTATGGCTTGGGAGTAGAAGCTGTTGAGAAGTCTTTTGGACCTAGACTTGGCACTCCGGTACCGCTTGCCATGCGGTAGCAGAGAGAACAGTCTATGACTAGGGTGGCTGGAGTCTTTGACAATTTTGAGGTATAGAGGTCCTGGATGGCAGGAAGCTTGGCCCCAGTGATGTACTGGGCCGTACGCACTACCCTCTGTAGTGCCTTGCGGTCGGAGGCCAAGCAGTTGCCATACCAGGCGGTGATGCAACCAGTCAGGATGCTCTCGATGGTGCAGCTGTATAATTTTTTGAGGATCTGAGGACCCATGCCAAATCTTTTCAGTCTCCTGAGGGGGAATAGGCTTTGTCGTGCCCTCTTCACGACTGTCTTGGTGTGTTTGGACCATGATAGTTCGTTGGTGATGTGGACACCAAGGAACTTGAAGCTCTCAACCTGTTCCACTACAGCCCCATCGATGAGAATGGGGGTGTGCTCAGTCCTCTTTTTTCCTGTAGTCCACAATCATCCTCCTTTGTCTTGTGCATGCTTGCTATTTATGAGGTGTAAGTTGCTGCTCAATAGTCCCGTTAACAGCCCTGTGAGTTTTAAAACACACAGAATCCAATATAGGATCATCAGACAGAGGCACCATCGCAGCTGGCATAGAGATACTTACTTTGCTGTGTTTGATCTTAGAGGAAACTTCCTGTTGGTACTCCCAACCTTGAAAAACACACACAACACAACACCACACACCCACACCCATCAGGCAGCTTAGAGGGGATGTGTGTGTTTTTGGATTATCCTGGGGGCCCCATAGAAAATGCTAGGCTTAGGGGTTAGGTTTAGGGTTAGGGT